TCTGTTACAACTTGAATCCACATCTAAATTGCAAAAAATTGATCACTGAACATTGTGTTTAATTAAATTTATTTGATAAAGGAGATAGTCAAGGTAACATTAATGAGAGATCTGCATTTCTTAATGATCAACATAAAAAACTAAATGTGTCTTTTCAGGCTTGTCTGTACTGTAAGGGCTAAGGCTATCTTCTAGAGTCACAATATAGAAGTTAATAAATTTCTCTGGTATGAGTAATATGTGATTGAAGACTGAACTTACTACTTCTCAACCCACTAGTGCTTGATTGCTTTAATTACTCAACAGTTAGGCCAGGTGCAGTTGTCTTAATATGACTTCAGTCATAGATTGGAGCATATTTTTTTTCTGTGTCTGCCTCATCTAGTATGCCCTCCTACTGTACTCAAATATGACTTATTTTGAGAACAAAAACCAAAGAACTTTAACATAGCTGAACTGAGTACCAGCTACACTTAGCTTTGATGCTCTGCTTCAAAAATGCAAATTTATAATTTGCAAAAATGCAAGTTATATTTATAAGTTATTCCGAATGCCTGAGTTATTGACTAGGAAATTTAGTTGCCCAGATTGGAATTGGAGAGATAGGATATTGAAGGCAGACAAGAATAATTCTAAATCCTTTATGTATGAGGGTGTTAGTGGAAAAAAAGACTCAAAGTCTGAAAAACCCATGGGGTTTATGTATTTATTTATTTATTTATTTATTTATTTATTATAGGAAACACTGGCAGATGTTTTTCACGTTGGATGCCTTTTAGGGCATAACAGAAAGCAATGATGTTAATACTTATACAAGAATTGTTTCTTTGAAGTGCACTGGTCCAGTCTTCCCCTCTTCTGGACTTGGGAATTCTAAAGTTTAACTTGCAAGATTAGAATGCAGTGGGGTTGAGTTTTTTCCCTCCCATGGTGAAGTTGTAGCACCGTGCAACCAGGAGTGAATTATTTATAGAGACAGTAAAAATTTGTAATATGGTACTGATCTCATCCTCAGAAGAAGAAGGGGATTATAGGTTATCCAGATGTGTAATTTTTTACAAAATGATTGTAGGTAGTGAACATTGAATGAAACCCCTTAAGAAAGAAGCCTTGTTATAGACTTCAAGGCATTTCAGACTAAGTTGATATCTGTGCCACTTGGCATAGCAGTAACTTGACTTTTTGGAATGGCAATAGCACTGTCTTGACAAATCTGTGTGGAACCCTAAGTGTTAGTGAAAAGGATAGAAGACTTAAGTTCAGGTCCTAAGTAAATTGATTTCTAAATCTTTGGCTCAGCAGGGTGTTTTGCTCTAGGGCTCTATCATGTAATTCTGTAATAAATACCATTTTAAATAGCTTGGTTCCTTTGAAATTTTATGCTTTAAATCCCTTGAGTAGGCATAGGGCACAGAAGTATCACTGTAGTTTTCTGTAGCTGCACCCTATCAGTGCTGTTTTCAGTCTTGCATTGGGATTCGTTTTAACAGTGTGTGTTCAGTGATTCCTGGTTAGTAAAGGAACACTTGGTGAGAGTTGAGGCTCTTCTTGAGCAGGAGAAAACTGTTAAGAGAAAAAACTTTTAGGGAGGAATGGGTGCTGGAAGTACTGTGGTGAGTTACTGTTTGGTAACCCTCTCTTGAAAGGGCACAAAGAAAATGAAAGAGAAAACAGCCAGTTGAAGGAAGGGTCATTTCAAAAGAACACTGTGTCCCTTAACTGTGGCATATTGCTTGAATGGGTTTTTTAAACTCTGTTTGCAAGTACATACTATCACTCTTTAGAAACAGTATTATTAACAATATTATTAAGAACTGCTGCTAAATCTTTGAGACAGACTTGCCCCATAGTTCCCACTTGTGACTGTAGTAGAATTCTGAAAGACACTCAAACAAATCTGCTCCTCTTATACTCCAGAGAGAAGCATTAAAGTAGGATTTTTAAAAGATTATTTTGAAGAGCACAGAGAAAATAGTAGGTTTGGCTTTTTTTTAATGGAACTTCAGCTTTTTTTTTCATTAAACTAGGGTGAGTATTGCACTTGGAAGAAGGTGTCTTATTCTGTTAGGTGGCCTTGATTTTTGTACTGTTGTCCAACAAAATAGAAGAGTTCCACGGTGGAGGCATTACTTCTGTTCAGTAGAGACACCAGAGGCACTTGTGCCTAAAAAATGTTGTGTGATTGCTCTCTGTGTGTGGTTTGTAAAAGCACAGCATTGCAAAACTCATTGTTACTGGAGTCTCCAGAATGTCAATTGCCTGTGGGACTGGTCAATGGGAAAGAAAGATAGCATTAGCTGGTAGCACTTCACACTTCACTGGGAAGACTTTTTGTACTGAAGTTTCATGATGTTGCTGGGTTACTAATTTCTTTTCTGGAACATGTTTTTGCATGTACCTAAATAAAAATGACAGTTATTCATTAAACTTATATAGGTGATAATTGGTGAGATCTTCCCATTCAACACATTATTTTCTTGGTTTTCTAAGATGAGACTGAGAAAAGTCAAGTTGGTCATGCTTTTTTTAATGGCAGTTGTTTAAGTAACATTGGACAAGGAGGATGTTGGGTCACTATTCAGCTATCTTAGTTTTTGAGTGAAAAGTTAATCTGACTGTTTGGCATCAAGTACTTAATTGACATTTGATCTGTATTGGAATATTTTTCTTTTCTAAGTACTTACCTTCATCCTCAGGATATCTGCAGAAGTGGGGAAACTGTTGTGTGGACTGTTTTCCCTGAATGTATAGGGTATGTTCTGTGAAGGGAGGAGTGTTCCTGTTTGGTTAAAGGCTCAAATAAAGCTGTACCGTTGGCACTAGGCTGGGGAAGATTCCAGGTGGCACCAAAGCATTTTGCTAAATGCAGGTACCAAAAGCTAGAGAAATGAATATGCTAAAGTAACATCACTCCCCTTGTATCTAGGTGCTGCTTCTGTGTTTTATTTCTCTTGCTTGACTTTGGAAGAATTTTCTACTCTTGTCCTAAGGATTGTATTGTTAAACTTGAAAATGCTGGTATTGTAGAAAAAAGTATAAATGGGGCTTAAGCTCCTTAGTCAGTCGAGTCAATTTAGTAGTCTTTGCCCGTGAGCAAATCAAAATAAAAGATGTTTTAACTTGCTTAAATTAAAGGTTAAAAGAAGAAATATCTTCACCTTTTCATTATTTTGGATTTGAACACTCTTTGAAGAGTGTTAGGGATTATTTTATTTTGAAAAGCAAAACCATGTTTGTGATACTGTCATTAAGGGAATATTTCGCTTCTGTCTGTATGTAGGGTGGGTTGAATAGTTCTGTCAGTGTTTTCAGGGATGGTAGCATTTCTTGATATCCTAATTAAAAGAACTTGAGAACTTGCAGCTTGTCAAAACTTATTTGAATGGCTTTATAAAGCTTAGTATGAGGAAAACCAGGAAGATACTCTTGCCCACAGCCTTTAAGTAGTGCAGGTCATGTAACTTACAATGAAAATTCAGGTTACCTGAACAACAGGTCCCAGAAACCTTTAATGAAAGGAAGAGTTAAGTGAGAAGTTACAAATTGCTGTGGATTTAATTTTGAAGTTGCTATCTTCATGCAGGAGCTCACTCCTGTTCTGGGTGCAGCTCTAGCTGACTGGAATTTCAGGAGGCAAAATATTGATGTGCTCCTAGAAGTTGCTGACTTCCATTTCTGATCTGCAAATGGTCTTTAAGTATTCTTTTTAACAAGACTGTGATTTTGCATAAAAAAAATAAAGCAAATAATAGACATGAATGCACTGTCTATACAGAAAGAACACTGGTGTCCTGGTTAGAAGTTGCTGAAGTAGCTTTCTTTTACCTCCGTGTATTTTTCATGTACCTCAAAATTTTTTTTATATCCAACTTTCAAGGCCTAATCCACCATGGGAATAGGAGGATGAATTGAGGAAAAAAAATTCCAAACCCATGCTGTCTTTGAACTAATACAGTGAACAGAATAAAACACATGCTTATAAAAGAAACCTCTGGTAAAATTCATGCCTTTCAACTTCAGGCTGTGTCTTTAAGTTACAGTAGTTGTTTCTAAAAGGTTCAAACAAAAAAGTTAAGTTTACTGCTAAAGCAGTGAGTCAGTATTACTGGGTTTTATGCATTTCCAGAGTTGTAGGAATTCAGGACTCATTTACACTTGCAAATTATCAGCTGGTTGAGACAACGGTAGAACTGATGCTGAATTGTTCAAATTTGACATCACCCGTCTTATTTATCGGATTCAGGGGAACTTTTACCCTGTAATCCTGAGCAGGCTTGAGGTGATAGAATTTCAGGCAAAGATGGAAGGGTCAGATCCTGATGGCCCTGTCCCTAAAGGTGTGTTCCCTCTTCCTTGGCTGCACTGGCCCCCATCATTGATGGAGCCTTTGAACTGTTTCATCCCACGGGCATGGCAGAAAAACTCTTTTCCCTCCTTCCTCCTGCACTGGCCACTTTTGGAGTGGGATTTTTTATTTGGAAATGTCTTGGCAGAAGTTTCATCAGTGTTGGGGAGCCAACAGAGGGTAAGTGCACAGCAAGGGGTAGAACAAAGCTGCTTTGCATAAGTTAATTTAGCATCCTAAAGCACTCCTGTGAGAGACCGTGAGGAATTTCAGTCCTTATCCTCCTTCTGAGTGTGGATGGTGACATTTCAGCAAATAAATGTATCCTCTGAGAAAGGTGTTGGGAACTGATAGCCAAAGCATTCAAAGTTTAAGTTCTGATCTAAGTGAGATGCTTCTTAGTGTTTAAAAATTGCCTTGGTTATCATGAAGATTTTTCTATAAACTTAATTAGTTCATGAATGAGAATTGTAGACTAGTTCAGGTGCAGCAATGTCTTGGCCCTTCAGCTCTCACCACTACCAGATTGATGGTTGTGGACAACACTTTTGGGTCAGGTTTCTTTGAGAACCATCTGTCCAAAGGGGTTAATTAAAAGGTTTTGGGAAGAGATGCTCCTGATTGTGTAGTAACACGAGTGTTCTAAGGATTGTATGTAACTTTGATTTTTCTCACCTGACATTTGGAGAGGTGTGATAGGGAACAATGCTGAGTCTTAAATTACGATTTCACAGTGCTCTGCTGAAATGTTACATTAAATGGTTTTGTATTGCTAGACTGTAATTTCACTGGAGTATCTTTCTGGGCCAGTAAGCCAGTGGAAGAAGGGAAAAGATTCTACTATTTTGTGCTTCAGCTGTTTTTCATGTTTGTTGCATAAAAATTCTTGCACTTGTTCTGGCCCAGAGAGGTGATAGAACTAAACCATCCCATGGCCTGTGCTTCCCTTTTTAAATTGTAGTCCAGACCCTTATATTCCAGAAAAGATGCTGGTGCTCTGCTAGTGGTTTTGTCAAGCTTATGTAACAACTTTATTTCAGATATATGAAGTTATATAAGTTAATGCATGCAGTGAATTACTGTAAGAGCAGCACTGTTCAGGAGCTTGCAGTTCTTGCACTTTTTTACCAGGATGCACAAATGTTGGATTGATTTCTATTAGCAGACACTTGTTTGGTTTCAGTATTTGGGCCAGTAGAGATGCATGGGAATGGTTTTAGAAACAGACATGGCCCAGTTCATGCAGCATTAATAAAATTAGTTTAGTCCTCTTTATGGCAACTGGTCACACAGTGGTTGATTTCTCTTATGTAAAAAATGTGTGAATAAAGTTTGTTAGGTAATACTTAGAACAGATTTGCCTTTTTTTGGCATGCTATTTGCTACATAATAGCATTTGTAATAGCATGTTATAAAATAGCATTTGCCATGCTATTGCATTTCATGTGAAGATGGATCCTACCCTGGGTAGCTGTGCCTTGCTTTATTTTCTGGGTATATCAGATAAACACGAACATGGGTGTGGTCCTGGTTGTGACGAGTCTTCATAGTTCTGTGTTTGAATGTAATCTGTCTGTACATATGACAAATATTTCCATCCTGCCTTTGCCTGTTACCTTCAGGTCTAAGGTTTTGACCTTCCATCATTTGATAGTTCTTCATGACAGGACTGTATTAACTTGGCTGAACTATTGCTCAATGTAAGCCATCCCTGCATGTAGGAAAGTCAGATTTAAATAGATTTGAACTTCATCCAGTCAGATGATTATTTTTTTACATTATTTTATGGAAAGTACTCCTGTGGGTTTTTGGGGTGGGGGTTTGTCCCTTTTTTAATGATGCAATACCTAATCTGTGCTGTGGAGAGGGACAGTCTAAGTTAATAAACCATATGTACCACTGAGTGTAAATCACCTCTCTACTCTTGCAGATTCTGAACTGAAAAAGTCCTGATGGACCAGAGCAGGGTTCTGGTGGCACACCCTTCACAGGGTATGCTTTAATACATGCACTCCAAGTATCTTGCTAATTTTGATTACACTGGTGTCTCTAATTTACTATGTTGTCCTACTGTATTGAATTCAGAAGCCAACTTCTGGTGCTAGACAATGGTATTTAGACACTGAAGTCTTCAAACAGAAAGCAGAGTAGAGAAATAACAAAGGCATCTTTGTAAGGGAGTAATCATAGTGGTTTTCATTTGGATAGTTCTACTAGCAATTGAAATGTGTTGATCTTAGTGTGGCAACTCTTCTGAAAGTGCATTGAGCTAAGCTGGCTTCTTCCTTCGTTTCCCCATGACATAACTGAAGAAGTGATGTTCTCTCCCTTTTTGGAGCTCTGCTTTGGAACACAGCACTTTTCAAATGCAGAAACAATAACCTAGAAAACTTGAGTCAAGTGAACTGACTCCAGAAAATGTGTTTACTTTTTCTGCTCTAGTTCATCACTTGACTCACAGGGGATTGGCAGGTCTGTCAGGCATAGAGACCCGAAGGTCTGCAGGTGCAAAAACGCATTTAAAAGACCTTTAAGAGAATTATGGTCAGTGTGTTACCCTGAGCTTCAGTTCATGTGTCTGTTGGTTACTGAACTAACCCAAGAAATTATCTTTAAGGTCATTTCCAACCCAAGGTATTCTTTGAATCTATGATCTTTAAGTTGACAGAGACCATCTGTTAAATCACCTGCAAAGATCAAAAACCAGCTTTGAAGTCACAGCTCCTTATCTTTAACATGGAAGGTGTCAAATGAAATCATTCTCTTTGGCAGACTACTTGAAATGCTTATGAGGTGAATAGTTTGGGTTTTTTAGCTCAAGATATATTTGTGACAAACTGATAGCAGAGCTTCTCAGCCAAATACTGAGCTGAATTAATAAACATGCCACTAATTTTGCTACCCTTCTTAGTTGCTAGTATTTTATTTTCCATAAACAATATCACCCATGTTCCCAAAAGAAACCAAAGTAAAATGCTGGAAAGTGGAGGTGAATTTTTGTTTTAGAAATTCTTCCTGCAGCTACTACAAATGGCTAATTGGAAAGACAAATCAGTTTGTAGGATGCTTTTTCTTGCCTGTTTGGTGTTGTTGACTAGAGCACAGACAGGTAAGTGCCAGTCTGAAGCCAGTTAAGGTTATCTAATGGAGTACCTCTTTAATTCTTCCAGTGTAAAGCAAAGTAACATTTAACTACCAAAAGCAGATAATTTCATAATGGTGACTGAATGCTGTCTTAATTCAACTTGTTACTTTGGAAGCCTGTGTTGGTTTTCTTGAAATTGGCCTGTTTTCAGATTGAAACTGGTTGAATTCTTTTTAGATTTGTGCTGACATAAGAGGCATTCTTAATGCTTCTTAATTAACGTCTGTGCAGGTTTGTGGATAAATAACATTAATATAAGGGAATAGTTATGAAGATAGGAAAAAAACTACTGCAGAAAGCTGTAGTAATGGGATTTTCAGGTCTTCCAGATCTGAAAATGTTACTTTATGGGAAATTGCTAATAGTTTTTTTTAGAAAGTCTGCATTTTGTGTTAGATTTCGGTGAAGTGCAGATTATAAAGGCAGTTTCATTTCAGTGAGACAAAGAAGTTTCTCCCTTTGAATCCCAAAAATGGAGGGAAATGTTAAAATTGATTTAAAAGTAAGTAAGTATTTCAGATGACATGCTGCTTTTCATTTTATTTTCAGTGTATGCTCCACTGAACTGACACTTTTCTTCCTAGCAAGTTGTTTCCTTCCTCTGTTCACGTGTTTTATTTGTTGCAAAACAATCCTTAGTGTTCATGCAGTTGTCGAGCTATTGAATAGAACTTATTAACATTATTAAATTATAAATTTTTTTTTTGTCGTTGTAGGAAGAAATCTGCTTCATCTAATTCAATGCTAATTCAGTCCTGCTAATCTGCTAGTACTGTAGATTGAAAGATTTTTTTGCTGTTGCCAGGATACCCTGTAATGGGCAAGAAGCCTGAGAGAATACAAAACGTTCTGATTTTTTAACTTTTAAAAACTTTTGTGTTTAACAGGTAAGAAACTATTAAACTTCACCTACAGCAATAGATTTTACTTCTTCATCTATAAAGCTTTATCCTAAAGCATTCAGAAACCACTTAAATTTTAAGCTTTTCATATCCTTGATATCCACTAAGGTCACCTGATTTCGTAGGTTCACATTTATCACTTTCTAAGCTGCAGTTCCTTCTTCAGTTCAGGCTTTGTGGCCATGCCTTCTGTTTTCTTGCAGCTTTTTTCTGACTGCTTTCTAGCTGGCTGATTCTAACTTTGTATTTTAACCTACCCTGCTCTTGCACTATCTTCTCTCTCCACCCTGCTTTGGTTTACTGTGACAATCAGGGATTTTCCAGACACAGTTGTGGATATTCTGTTTCTTTTACAGTGTTTTGCTTTTGTGCTAGGAAGTGTATCTGCTGCCTAACCTTTTTGAAAGAGTTTCAAAGCAAATGTGTTCATGAACTGACATATAGTAGGTATGATTGATATTTATAGATTATTATATTGAAGCAACACTGACTTCTGTAATTGTATTTTTTAGTACTAAACTTTGTTTTACTGCAAAAGTGTCTTCTGGGTAGCTATGCATTGTTGAGCTTGCATTTTATATTATTATGGAATCATGTGCATTTCTTAGTGCAAAGATATCTTCATTTTCTTCATTTTGAAGCTATCTGGAAGAATTCAGAATAGGAAAAATCTAACTGAATTCTGTGACCAATGAATATTTTAAATTTGTAATTGGCAGTTCATGTGGAATTACTAGAAAATGATTCATCTTCTCTACTTGGGCAGGAGAGATTAGTGTCTTAATTTGCAGTTATTGCAGGTAATTAAGATCTTTATTTATTAACACTTAGTACTGTGCTTTGAGATAGTGTAGGAGTTGATGAGGATATAGTTGTTGCTTGGTATAAAATTGCTCTTGTAAATTCACTGTAGACTGCAGACTTCACCTGATTTTTGTACTTCTGTTGAACAGTTATGACCCCTTGAATTTTGGGAGATTGGTGTCTTGGAGTAAACTTTAACTAGTTTGGGTCTATTTACATATTTCAGCATGTTTCAGCTATTGATTATTGGGGCATTCAGTCATAAAGGGGGGTGGTGTATGCACATGATGTGTGTGTGTATATATATATATATGTCTATAATGTATTGTGTGAAAGATCATAGGAGAACAGAGAAGTTAGGGTTGGAAGGAACCTCTGAATATCATCTAGTTTACTCCCCTGCCAAGGCAGGGTCACCTAGAGAAGGTGACACAGGAGCATACTCAGGTGGGGTGTGATTGTCTCCAGAAAGGGAGATCATGACCTCCCTGGACAGCCTGTTCCAGTGCTCTGCCACCCTCAGTGTAAAGAAGTTCTTCCTCGTGTTGAAGTGGAACTTTTTTTTAATTTAGTGTATGGCCATTGCTCCTTATCCTGTTGTTGGGCACCATGGAAAAGAGTCCAGCCCCATTGTCTTGGCAGCCAGCTTAGATATTTGTATGCAAGAATGAGATGCCCTCTCAGTCTTTTCTTCTCTGGACTAAAGAGGCCCAGCTCCCACAGTCTCTCATCATAAGTGATGCTCCAGACTGCATATCCATCTCTGTGGCCTCTGCTGGACCCCTCTCCAGTAGTTCCTTTTCTTGCTTGAACTATGGAGATTGGATTGAGCATAGCTCCACTCCAGATGTGGCCTCCTTAGGGCTGAATAGAGGAGCAGGATCACCTTCCTCCACCTGCTGGCCCCGCTCTTCCTGTCGCACCCTAGGATACCAGTGTCCTCCTGGCCACAAGGGCACACTGCTGACTCATCACAAATGAGTTTTTATAGTTCTCATCTAGATAAGAGTGCAGCTGGGATTCATAAATAAGGGAGATTAAGTTGATAAATAAGGGTAAAAGCGATTTCACTTCGCTTCTTAACTGTTCTGTAACAATAGCAGGCTCCTCCTTCTCCTGTCTGATAGGGGAGTGAAAGTCCCTGCTTAATAACGTGCCTCAGCAGGAGATGGCACCTTGTTAAAGAGCATGTTGAGAGACCACTGTGTGCCTCCATACAGTTTTCTGGCATGTTTTTCTCCCAGCCAAGACAAGAGTGCCACATGGCATCTCCTGTATTTCTCTGAAGAGGCTGTAGTTACCCTCTGAAAGTACACTAATAGCTAGCAGAGGAGCATATGTGCTGTGAATGAGGATAGTGTCTGGAAGGAATTCTGTCATGGCATCAGGAGGCCACTGTGGCAGCAGTGTATGTGGCCAGGTATGGCTGTCCTGGGAGCTGGCTGTAGCCTGAGAGATGTGCTCATGGGGAGCAGGAGGCTTAGGCACACCGAGGGCCCCTTTCTGGGGATCACTTCCCTATTCCTGCTGTTCCTTGGGCACAGGGACTCCCCTCTGCCTAAGCTTCAGCCTGCTCTTTATCCTGTGTCTGGGGTCCCCTGCATGAGACAGTGGCAGCAGTTTTGCAGGAGGGTCAGAGGTCCTTGGAAACCTCCCACTCTGCAGCCCCCTGTGCCCAGCAGAGGCTGAGAAGAGGCTGATGCATCCAGAAATCCTGATGTGAGGAAAGAAATGCACAAGATCTCCCAGCCTTCCATGAAAGTGTTGTTGGTGTTTCCTTTTTAGTATCTCTTCCAGTTTGTTATGCCCATGGACTAGGAAGGAATGTGCATGGTATTAGAAGTATGTATTAAATTGTTGAGGTAGAGATGTTTCTATTTGCTCTTCTGTTTAATTCCTATTAACTTTAAACCATTTATTCCTTTCTCCACAGAGTTTCTTTGAAACTTTACTAGCTTAAGTAATGAAGTATTATTTTCCACTAGGTCTGAGGTTTGTGGTGTGAATAGGCTCTTCTGACACTGAAGAAACAGCTACATGTTATTTTGTATTCATTTGAGATTTGTATTCTATATCAAATTGATCTTATATTTTGTTTAAGAAATGTAGCAACTGTACCGTGAACGTTTTCCTTTATTACTGCTTTTATTTTTTTGTGATTGCTGTATGTAATTGTAAAGTACTGTAATTACATCTAGGGATTTTGAACACCAACTTACATCTTTCTAGCTAATAGTACTCAGTGAACCCAACTGCTCTGATTGTAAAGAAATTTATTCTAAACAGGTTAGGACAGGCAGTTTTAGACACCAAGCTTACAATGGGTGATGCTTTCCTGAGTACAACAGACACTTAAAAAAGTAGCAACTAGAGTGTCTTCTGTCATTTTCATTCACTGGTAATTCTCTTTAGCTCTAATTTTTTTTCAGACATGCATTTATGCTTAGTTTTGTTTTAAACAGAGTCCATCTTCAGTGTCAAAATAAGCACTTTATAAATGCTACAACAGTGTCTTACTACTGTCCATTGATTGAAGAAAAGGGACCCCCTGCCTCAAACTGGAATCTAAGTATAAACATACCTAGATAGTAACTAGGTGAGGTTATGTGAAGCTTATCTTCATCATTACTTTGTCCTTCCTTAAACTTACCTACCTACTTGGCTTTTAGGAGGCAAGGGATTCTTTGCATTGGAAATGCTTTTATCATTAGGAAGTGCAAGACCATCTTGAAATCAAGGACTCCTTTGGTGGTTGCTGTCCTTGCATCAATTAATTAGGTTGGCTTTTGCTAGTTGCTGCAGAGAAATTATAAATCCTGTTTTGCTGAAGTAGGCTACATCACTTAAGAGGTATTTCAGTTGTGGAAACATTTGTTGGTGCAAAAGTAACTGATTTTCTTTTCCATCTGTGTACTTGAACCTATAGTAAGAAAATACAATAGTGCACAAAGTGACAAATTCAGAGTTTGATTTTTTTATAATGCAGTAATTGTTACAACTCCTTATGTAGCATTTCTCAGATTTTCACATACTACAGAATCTTCAGTTTGACACTGATGCACTTAATACACTGATAGACTTTTCTCTTGCTTGAAAAATTGAAACTGGGCATTGCAGTGAAATCGGCCAAGTTCCTGCCTGAAGCACTGTGTATATGCCTGTGACATATGTGTAGTTGTCAGGTAAAAAGCCTTCAGCTGGCTGCTGAAATGCTTCTGGTTTTCCTTCTGCACTGGTCTGGATGTCCATGTCTGCTTGGAGCTGCCAATACTCAACTTCTGTGTGGAAATCTGAGGTTCTGAGTCAGAAGGAGCTCAGTGTAAAACACCCTTCCCAACTCAAAGGAGCAGCTTACTTTAGTTTTCTTATTTACTGAAGAGACTTCTGGATGCTTTAAAGACTTGTTAGTGTGTTTTGTAAAAGGTTCCGTATAGGAGACATTGTCCAAAATTAAACCGTGTGCTTTTCTGACTGGAATTCGTATCTTAGTCTGGTAATTTGAAAACAGCAATGTGTCTCTTTAGGAAAGATGTGTTGCAGCTACCATCACTTGAAGCTAAAGAGAGACTTTGTGATACAACTGTTACCAACTTTTTTTGATGGAAATGCCACTTAAGCACTTGACTTCCAGAAGTTCCACTGGTTACTATTAAAAATACTCCTGTGGTTTTCTTTCTCTGTAACAGACAGAAGATTTAATTTTCCTTCTTGGTCTGAAAGGATTAGTTTCTAAACTTTATTTCTTCCATTTAGCAATAATAAAAGTGAGAATTTCAGTTACCTGTATGCCAGCAGTTGAAAGCAGGCTCTCTTTGCTTTGTTGAACTGCTTTTTATTTTTAGATTTAAGTCAAGTGTTTATTACATGGAATGCTATTCAGCATTCGTTCAGAGAAGAATCTGTTGAAAATAATAATTAAGAAAACAAAGCCGTATTTTTCTGGACATTGGATGTTACTCAGGATCTTGAATTGTCATAAATTGTGCATCAGCAATTTGATGTAAACTTTACAGTTTAATGAACTGGATGTCAGTCTTGCTTCCTGGAACTTTCAGAGATTATAGGAAACGAGCATGTTATAAATGACAGTCAAATGCATGCAGCATCTTGGCCATCTTTAACATGTTTTATCTTTCCCCATGTGAGAGTTTTTAACATCATCCTGGGTTATTTTGCTTCTTGTAGTTTTTAATCTTGAGCATGTCTCATATTTGGAAGTCTTTTGTATCTTGCATTGAGTCCAAAAGTCTTTTTCTGCTCTAACTGAAAGTGAAGTAACCTTGGGAGTAATACAACCCATGTGACCCATTTTTTGTAAATTTGCAGGTAGTGAAGTTTTAACAGGAGCAGACTTGTGAGTTTTGGACAGAAGGCCTGATGCTGACTCCATTAATGGGACTGAAATTTGAAAAAGCATGATGATGTTTCAGAATTAGTGGATTTGGGGAGGGAGGGTAGAACAGTAGGCTCTGAGAAAAATAACAATAACGTGTTTTGATTTTAAAACTTCCAATCAAAACTATGCTAGGCTGATTCTAGATTACTGTCAGTAATAATGCCTAGGAAAATTCTCTTCAGGGTTCCTGGACTTTCCCTTTGGCACAGTTTATGTTGTTTATTTTTCCTTATTTCAAAGGACCTGGGCTCCTGTTGAGAAGTGATGGAATAATCTGTGGCCGGCACCTGACATGTTGAGGGAGCAGCCCCTAAAAGAGCTTGCCTGGGAGACAGTTTGTGAAATAACACAGTAACATGTTTGCAGTAGTATGCCTCTTTTTTTGTTATTGCTCTTTTGCATTGTTGAATTTCTCTTGAAATAACTGACTGAGAAATACATTGAAGCTACTGAAATGAGCATTAATCACTACAGAGGTATTTACATCTGGAATTAGCATTGATAGTGGTTACTTACAAGGATGGTGCTTTCACTGATTGGGGCAATGGGAGGGATTTGATCTACTTTCTAGAGGTTTAAAAATCCCAATCAAAAATATCCTCTGGCTTTAATAATGCACTGGTTTCACTTCCTTACAGTAAGTTTATGTGTAGCTTGCATTACCCATAACCTAGTGTATTTCATAAATGTATAAGTTGATTTAAGCCAATTTGTAAGATCAGGTGTGTTAAACCCTGCCTGAAAGTTTACTAATACTTCTAGTACAAAATTCCTTTCTGCTTCCTAATCATTTAATACTTGCATGGGATGTTAGATTAGTACCAATACTGCAGCCTAATAAATCTGTACATTGCCTGATTGATTTTTGTTTGAATCCCATATCTTTATAAACAGAAAGCTATATAATCTGGGGCCAGTTATGAATATTATAATTTCTGAAAAAAATTGAAGCAGAATAATGTGATCAGTATGTAGTGGTTAAAGCAACAGTTAAAACCCTCAAAGCAATTAAAATGTCTCCATAGTGAATATACCATGCTTTAAAATATTTAGGCTGAATACTGAGAGTCTTGCTAGTGGAAAGATCGTGCACACAAAGGTTTTGCTGATCTTTGTGGTTGTTTCTGTTTCCAAACTGCTCAAGTACGAAATTTGACACAATGCTGTTCTAAGTAGCTGTCGTGTGCAGGCTGAATCAATTTAAACTTGGAAATAAGTGCTTAAATGCTGCCTCTTAGTTGCAAAATAATTGGATATTTCTATTCTAATTTTATGGGGTGTTTTGAGTGTATGACAACAGCATAGTTGGATTATTGCCTTTAAGCTTACTCCTGTATACAGCCTACAGTTTACAGAAATGTCCTTGCTAAAATAATACTATTCACTGAAATTCCCTGCCTTACTACACGTCCTCACAGCTGATACTGCTAATGCACAGCAGTAACTAATTTATTGAATTAATCTTTCACATTTGGAAAATACTTCCTAAAGGAGCAAAAGGAGTGTTTCTTTCTTCCTTTCTTTAAGAGTGCTGCTCAAAACTCTGCTTTCAATTGTAAGGAAAGTTTTTCTTACAGTGTTCTAGTATATCCAGTATCTCTTTTCAGTCCACTTAAATTCTGCATTCATATAAGCCCAGTTAATACTGTGTCAGAGGTCAAGTGTCATATAAAAGCCCTGTTCTCAGGGCTGGAGGGAGAGGAAGTATGGAGCTTAATGAGAGGTGAAAGCAAGAATTTATTGGATATATTGTAGACTGAAATACTCTTTTCTGATAGCACAGTTGTCTCAGCAGCAACTGATCAAAAGGTGTCTTAGAGAAAAAGAATTAATAAAGAGGTGCCAAAGCATTTTATATGACAAGGTGAAGTTGTTCATTCTTAGAGATCTGTTACAGCCTCTTAGAGTGTTTCAGTGGTTGGAGCCACAGCCCTTGACATGTTTGTAACATATCTTGGCCTTTGATATTCCTCCTCTGTCAAGTTTGTGGAGGCAGGGACAATTAGTGTAATGTTGAAATTAGCTCCTGCACTCTGAAGTGTGCTCCCTGCAAGCAAAAATTCTTTTTGTTCCTCTACCTTTATCGATGTTTTCTTCAATGGTGGGGGTGGTATTTCAGTGCAGTTATTCTCTGTCCATTTCATCTTCGCCCAGCTTGATTAATTGCTGAGCAAATTGTTCTGCATCTCTGACTCAATGCACAGATTAAAAACAAGGAATGGGAAAAGCAAATTTCGTACCTTTTTCTTTAATGCAATTAGCATGTTCCTTTCATGTAAGTAAAACCCTGCCTAACTCTTACCTTTGGATGTTAGATTAATGGCTACTGCTGATATACTGCTATTCTTCTTACACAGACCAGCATGTTTTGGAAATTTGATCTCCACTCGTCATCACACATAGATACACTTCTAGAGAGAGAAGATGTAACACTGAAGGAATTGATGGATGAAGAGGATGTTCTACAGGAGTGCAAGGCTCAGAATCGCAAACTTATAGAGTTTCTGCTGAAGTCAGAATGTTTGGAAGACTTAGTTTCATTTATTATTGAAGAGCCACCTCAAGACATGGATGAAAAAATTCGATATAAGTAGGAAAACTTTTGGGATTGGGGGAGATTTGGAAGGTGGAAGGACAAATAAATAAATCTAGTTAATTTGATAGTGTGAATCCCTGTGTGCTGATGTATAGTACAATATTGGTGTGTTTTAGATCAAGTATGTTTTCAGGAGGCTTCATGGAACTTTTAAGTAAATCATTCTAATATATGCATAGTTTTGAAATGGAAGCTTATATACAAATGCTTCCAAAACCAGTTAATGTCCAAATGAGTTTCCCAAAAGAGGTCCAACCAGAATTCAAATTAAGAATCCTGTAGTTGTGATTAAAACAATAGTTGCATGAAAAACCCTTTTTGGGTAGTATAACTGAACGGTTAGCTTTGTTTTGTTGACTTGTAAGATGTTTTGGAGATGCCTTTTAGAAGATTTGTGGTACTCCTTGGAAGAATGTCCTTAGGGTCTAAATGCTGATGTTTTCCTTTCCAGAGTATGGACATGATTTCTGGCTTGCTGAGAAGGTTCAAACTCAAAATCCATCTAGCAGTTTGTAGAAAAGCACTTCTACTGCTTTTGGCCTATTTTAGTCTTGTCCATACAGAAAGCTGCTTTTTTTCTTAAAATTGTGTGTTGAAATAATGTAAAATAAGCTACACTTTTAGTTGCAGAACTTCACCATTTCTGGTAAACCAAGCCTCCTGTAAATGTTTCTAGTAGAGTTGGAAATTGAAGCAAATAAGAAGTCAGTACTTGAAGAGATGGATTTAACAATATATCTTGAATTGAGAGTTTGCTCTTTCCTTTCTCAGCTTCCCTACTGGTGTCCTGTTGCTACTGAAGATCAAAGTAGTGCCCTTCTTAAATGACAACAGAGCTTATAGGCTGAATGTGCACTTGTATTGCTTTGTGTTAGTTTGCTACTTTTAGTATAGACCAACTCTGCATGAAAATTTAGTCAGATGCATTACCAGGTTCTGAATTCAGAGCTGAAAGTATGAGAAGTCTGAAGGATGAGTGATGGCTAATGATTTTTCTTTTCCCCAGATACCCAAACATATCATGTGAGCTGCTTACATCAGATGTCTCACAGATCAATGATAGGTTGGGAGAAGAAGAATCCTTACTCCTGAAACTGTACAGCTTCCTCTTAAATGAATCTCCTCTAAACCCTCTACTGGCCAGTTTCTTCAGCAAGGTGTTAAGTATTCTTATCAGCAGAAAACCAGAACAGGTAACTATTTGCAAACTCGACAGTTTTACAAGAGCTCTGATAACCCTACAGTACTCAGTAATTCTGCTTTAAGACTACGTGATTGAGGCTAGCAGCAGAGTCAAAAGAGAGCATTCAGGTTCCATCCTAGCTGAAGACACCTTTTCATTATGCACACAATTAAAAAATACACTTGGATGGGTAGGATGTATTTGATTCAGATTTGCCTAAGCTATTTATGCAACCGGTGTCCGAGTGCCCACCTTTTGGCTTGACTTAGCTCAGTGTTTTATATTTGCATTTATTGCTGTTAATAGCAAATGTAAATTACTTGAATCAGTGACAGTGATTCTGACTTGGTGTGAAGAATTATTTAGAATGAGGAGAAAAACTTTTGGAGTCCTTGCTCAGAAATGCATTTGTACTCAGTGCATGTGGTCCAATGCTGCAAACAGCTGCAATGATTTGACTCTCAGACCTGAGATACCTGTTTGTGTTAAGTTTTGCTCTGTTGAGCTTTGCCCACTAAGCAGACATGAGGCTGATTCTTATCAAAAAGAAAACCCAACTCTGTGCTGGATTATAAGTAGGTTATGGTCAGCAAGTTGGGTTTGAGGGGAGACCCAGGGCACACTGCATGTAATATGGTTCTGCCCTGTGCCATTTTTGCTGTTCTCTGCCTGGGTTTTATTTTGTCTTGTCTTGTACTGCAGGCTTTAAGTGGCCAGAAGTGTTTAAGAAATTCTCATCTATTTTGTCAATTTGCTAGGAAAGTGAAATTAAAAGTGATTGCTGTAATTTATCATGTAAAATATATGAAGCAAATATAAGCTTACTTTTTCATTTCCAGATTGTGGATTTTTTAAAGAGGAAGCATGATTTTGTAGACCTCATTATTAAGCACATAGGGACCTCTGCTATCATGGACTTGTTGCTCAGGCTACTGACTTGCATAGAACCTCCACAGCCCCGGCAAGAAGTGCTAAATGTAAGTAAAAACTTTTGTCTGGCATGTGTGAACTCTGGCTTAACTTTTGCTAAATTTATTTCTTGAATATGCTGAAATTAGATGTGTGGGGTTTTGTTTGTTTGTGGGTGTTTTTTAGTTTGTTTGTTTTTGGTTTTGTGTTTTTTCTGAGCTGCCAATACTTTTCCAGTGAAACCTCAGTGCTGCTGGGGACAACTTAAAACCCAAGTGGCTGGTCTCTTCCCTGTCTTTAATATCTAACTTCTACCAGGCAGATGTAATTTTAACATGGTTTTGGACCTTAACCAAACACTTTTGGCATCAAAGTTTGTTGAAATTAACCGAAGGTTATTATTTTTTTTTTTTTTTACTGTGGCTCAGAAATGCTGCTTTTATTTTTTCTTTTTTTTTTCTGAAGTACTGTTAATACTTATTTAGAAGTATTGACCTTATGACTTGTGGTAGTTGTCAAAAGGCTCCTTTCAATTTCATTAGTTCATTTGATTCATTCCCACAAACATTTTTACAGTGGCTGAATGAGGAGAGAATAATCCAGAGGCTTGTGGAAATCGTGCACCCATCTCAAGATGAAGATGTAAGTATTGGTCTGATGATGCCTTGGACTGGCTACCTGGAGCAGAGACTAGACAAAGTTAGAGACTAAAGTGGGTGTTTATTCAAGGCCTTTAACAGATACACCTTGGGCAGTGCAGGAGCCTTGCAGAGGCTACACCCAAAGATGAACCATTGTCACGAGTTTTCTCTGACAGATATAAGTTTAGTCTGTTTGCATATCAGAGGTTAATTGTCCAATTGTAGCTTCAGGTAATGAAGTCACATGGCCTCAGTTTGCATCTCCCCTGGATTCACTTTTGTTGATTCTTTTCAGGCCTGAGGCTGTTATGGTGACCTTGGTTCTCAGGCCTGGAAGGATTTTGTCTGACCCAACTGTAAAAGAGAGCTTACTAACACTGTGTATGAAGTTCAGAGTTACACACTAACACAGTACAGGATCTCAAAAATATAAAAGCTAAAACTTAAGGCATCACTGGAAGTCTCCTGGGTGTATCTGTTCAGCTGTACAACATAGTGTTAGAACTAGTTTTACTGTTTTCTGCTTGCTTTTTTCAGGAAGCTGATTTCAGTATTAAGTGTGGTTATTTGAGGAGGGTTATGTGGTTTTGTTCACCTCCCTGCCTCCTTTTTGAGATCCATATCAAAGCCTTAGGCATACTTGGAGTTGTTGGAAGATTCAGCTCTCATGTTTTGCCACCTTAATGTTGGAAATAGATTCTTGTCTCGTGCTTCAACGCTTTTTTTGTTAAGGGTTACTTATGGCTTAAAGCTATTGCCTGAATGTTTTTTGGGTAGGAGAGCTCTTGTCCATGTTGAAGCTTTCATCTCTTTTAACTGAAGAATGAGAGTCCAGCATGTTGTTATTCTTGTAGTGAAAAGTGCTGTTTTTCTGTTTCAGAGGCATTCAAATGCATCACAGTCACTCTGTGAAATTATTCGTCTAAGCAGAGACCAGATGCTACAAGTACAGAACAGTTCAGAACCAGATCCACTGCTTGCAAGTTTAGAGAAGTAAGTTGGTTTGAATTTTATTCTCACTTCATAAAAAAATAATTTTTAAATTTTGACCTTGAAAACCATCAGAAATGGCAAACTCTTTTCAGGTGAATTTTCTTGACTACCCATCTGTTGATTGTGCAATGAAAAATAACCTGGCAAGTAAGCAGAGCACATCTGGGGGATTTTCTGTTGGGGAATGTGAGAGACGAGTTGTCTCATTAAATTATTTCCTGTGCTGCCCTATTGGATGGTATCTTACATGTGGAGGTCAACTTGATACTGTGCAGACTAAATACAGGAGACTTTTGTTAGTAGTTTTAACTTAATCTAAGTGTATGTTTCTGCCAGAAAAGATTCTCCTGTATTCCCTTCTCCCTTTTTTTATGTGGGCAAATGGTAGTTACTTCTGCTAACATCTGTATCCTGAAGTGGTTTAACCTGTTACTAATGCTTTTCTTTTCAGACAAGAAATCATAGAGCAGCTTCTGTCTAACATTTTTCATAAAGAAAAAAACGAATCTGCAATAGTCAGTGCAATCCAAATCCTATTGACCTTACTTGAGACAAGACGACAGACGTAAGTGATATTATTTGGTTTATGCCTGCACTAACAAATGCCTTCCTTGTGCTTGTGACCAAACCATTTCTGTGACCTGTTGTAGCTGAAGGAATAAAAATGCAAATCAAGTGATTGTGGTTGGCATTATTACACTTTCACCAAATGACTGGTCTTCCTGCAGCTTTTTCTAGTGTGAGTACCAGCAGACAGATCAGACTAAATGTATCTCCTCAGTTTGTATCTGGATACAGGGAATAGAGTAAATATGTATGGTGCAGTGACTGAATATTGACTTGTAAAAAGTTACTTGTAATGTTAGTGCAACATCATTTGGAGAAGCTGCTGAACAGATCTCTCTGGTACATTGAACTTACATTGTTTCTGATAGGCAAATGAAGCTCTTTATCTGCTTCAATAAAGCAAATTAAAACATAATTTTAAATCTCAAAACTATTTTGGGGACTTCAGGCCCAATAAACCTAGAAATACTAGGGCTAGTGTTTGGGAAAATCTCTTCTTCAACCATTATGTCACCCTTAATTTTTATGTGTGTGTAACCCTATGCTTTTGCATGTTTTTCCTCTTTGTTATTTTCACATCCTTTCAGAACTGTTACATACCTCAGGTGTTTTACAATTGGTTTTGGTACTAATTATCAAATTTTGCTTATGTGCATTTTAGGTTTGAAGGCCATATAGAGATCTGTCCTCCAGGCATGAGCAATTCCACGTATCCTGTCAACAAAAGTGTTTTAGAAGCCATAAAAGCACGACTTTCATCCTTCCATGAGCTCCTACTTGAGCCTCCCAAAGTAAGTGAAATCTTGTGTTAAGAAATTAATTGAAGCAAAACTCACCATGTGTCTGTTTTAGGCAGATTATAAATGACAAAACCCAGTCTGACAACTTTCAGGCAAGCACCCAGGCAACTTCCTTGCCTGTTGTGAGCTTTGGCTCAGGCAAACAGTAATAATGAACAGCAACGTTTTGTGCTTTTCCAGCACAAACTTTGTTTAATTAGCAAAGTAACCTTGGAGCAATTACTTCTTTCTAAAAGCAATGAAAAGGGATTTGCTATCAAGGGAGGTCCTGTTTCCTGCTTGGAAATCCAGTCTGGGTAGGAAACATGAACTGTAGATGCTGCAGTTGTTTGGAACTTTGGAATGGCCCACGTTAGGTTTGTGCAATTCTCCTGACTTTGCCAGGACCCAAGCTGATTAGCTCCATGACACATCCCTGCACTCTAGGCATATTAAATTCCTTGGGTTTTTAACTGATTTGAGAAACTTACCTATGCCATGCTCTTGCCAAAGATTAAAAAAAATCTATAGGGAGTTTACCTGTGATCCATTTATATGTTCTGTTCACATTTTCACGGGCAGAATTTCAGCTCAAGCACTGCACCCTGAACTGAGTGCTGCAGATTTTAACAGAGAAATGAAACATGAAATTGTTTTTAAATAAATGAAGTTAGGGTTGCTGAGGCATTATAATTTATTTAGACTGTCCACCTAGCTGTTCTGTGTATGTTGTAGTAATGTAGAATATAGCTGGATTAATGAGTGAGAATTATTTCTGAGGAGCTATCTCCCAGTTCCTGTCAAAGTTGAGTAGACTTCATCTACTTTGAGGTCCTGTTTGTAGTTAGCAATAATTTTTTTTACCAAGTTGTTGCTTTTGTGTGACTGGTTTTAGTGCTTCCTGTCTGTGGAATTAAAAAAAGCTGCAGTATTTGGAATTAAAAATAGGGGTTTTTTGCAGGATGAAGGTAAGACAGTTGCTCCAAGACTAAATGTATCCATTTTTAAGCACTACTCAGTCATTGAATATAGCAATGATAAGCTGATTTTTTAAAAAAGACATTTTAATGGGTTTATGTATTGAAATGTTTTCTTTTTCAGAAAAGTGTCATGAAGACAACCTGGGGTGTACTGGATCCACCTGTAGGAAACACTCGTTTAAATGTGATTAGGTTAATATCTAGCCTTTTACAGACAAATACAAGCAGTGTGAATCAGGAGCTTATAGAACTTAACAGCATAGGAGTAATATTGGTAAGAACTTTGTGCTGTCTTCTTTATTTTTATGGAATGCTGTTAAGATCTTGTCTGCTTTTTCTGACTCTGCAGATAATTTTCTGGTCTAACTTATTTTCCAGCCTAATTTTTCAGCACTTGTATTGTGATGTCTATTGTTTAGTTTTAGAACTTTTAATACTTGATTCTACTGTTAATCAATCTGAGGTCAGTGTTTTCCTCTGACCATTTGACTGGTTCTTACTTGCTGCACCTTCATAAATACATGAAGTGGTTTTCTTAATAATGTTATTTTCAATTGGATGTTCTCGAGTTTTCAGCCATGTTCTAAGCTTCATTGCTATTTTCATTTTTTCCCTAAGTTGTTCCCTCCAAGCCTCTTTTTCTCTCTTAATACATGGCCTACAAAATGGTATCTCAGCAGTGTCCTGTAAAGGAACTTGTACTTCAAACCTCAATGCAAAGTGGTGTACAACAAACTCATTGCTCTTTGCTAAGGTGAACATGTACTTTGTGTACTTCCTACCTCATACTTCCACTACAGCAGATGGTTTCTTTATGTTTAGGTTCACCCTAGAAATCCAAATGTTGATTGATTAAAATATAACTAGCAAATCATGTAGAACTTAAGCTAGTTACTGAATAACAATATGTAAACTTCTAAGTTGGCAGTTGCAAGCTTCAAGTGTAAATACTTTCTCTTCCCTGATTTAGTCCAAACCCCCTTTTTCCTGTGACTGATTAATATAGTGTGATTGAAATGTTTTCATCTCAAATTTTCTTCTTGGATTTGCAGACAGCTACTAAATTTCATACAAATAGCTGACTTCACTGTTTTCTTCAAAAACTTCACAACTGAAGTTTTTCCTAGATCCATTGTCTAAGGGAACATACACACCATGAATACTTGCATGTTCCTCTAAATAGGTTATTTTGTAAACTAAGTTCAGTGAGGTTTGAACACGCTTTTCTGTTGCAGGTTTAAGGTAAGGAAAAAAGTAATGGTAGCCGTAGAAACATCAATGCTTCATGCTGTTTGCTGAAAAACCACATTTTTTACTGGGCAGACTTGACTTAGGCAAAGTTATGGAAGAATGTCATTAGTTTAGGAGGACTGAAGATGGATTGAAGACCTTAGCTGTACTTTGAATGAGACTGAAATTGTTCAGTACTGTTCCAATCACTGCACAGATTTCACTGCATTTTTTCAGTGACAACAATCATTTGAATTTTGCAGTGTCTGGCCTAAAATAGCTAGGCTTGACAAAAATCTTGCCTGTGTTTAAGAGAAAAAATGGGGAGAAGCAGGAACTTGACTAAATGGATGCTGTTCATTGTATCTCAACCTCAGTAATTGTCTTGTGCTTTTTTAATAATCTTAAAGTGCTTCTGGATTTTCTGAGGTAGTGGATGATGTTGGGTTTGAAATAGCTAGATACAATTTCGTAAGGAATCTCACTGAGGTGAGGAGCACATTTATAAAAGAATATTATAGATACTAGGAAGGTTAAGTGAACTCAAAAAAGTCAAGGACTTCTAAGGTCATAAATAACATTTCTGAGCTGCAGCTGGCAGAAGGAATGTAAATGGGGAGCATTATTTCTCCTTGTCTTCATAGTCTGAAAGTGCATTATTGTGACCCCTGCAGTAAATCCAGTTAGTTGTGTTCTTGTTCTGATCCAGTGTAGTATTTCTTGCATTCAGATGATGGCAGGAACAAAAGTTACTGATTTTGTGGATCACAAATTTTTTTTTGTGTAATAATGCTTAGTGTAGAACTTAAAAGATTTCTTCCAGTGTAGTCATTCAGATGATGAGGGGGGTGAGACTATTGGTTATGTTTAATGAAAAGATCTTGGTTTGTGTAAATCTCGGTGAATTTGTTTTTCAGGACATGTTTTTTAAGTATACGTGGAATAACTTTTTGCATACTCAAGTAGAAATCTGTATTGCATTGATTCTTGCAAGTCCTCTTGAAAACACAGAAAATGGCACAATTACAGATCAAGATTCCAATGGGGACAATCTCTTACTGAAACATGTAAGTTGTGTTTTGCGAGTCTCTTGAATTTTCTTGTTTGCATGCAGTTAATTTTACAGGAAATACACCCCAATTCTACTTAATGTATAGAATGAAAAAGTGTCTATCTGATTTTACTTAAAATGTTAGTTCAGGGTGTTAAATCTGAAACTGCCATCGAGTAGGTTTTTTTTGTTGTTGTTGTTCCAAAGCAAACATGGTGAAGAGCTGCAACTATTTATTTTCCCTGAAGTTCCTCCTATTTTTAAGACTTAAAATTGCTATTTTAGTAGCTTTATGCTACTATAACAACTCAACACTTAGAGGAGTGGGAAGTTTCAGGTTGTGATCTGACTGCTGTACTTTTAACCCTTTAATGACAGTATGTATCCTGAATGTGAAATTAATAGTCCTGCAGACTTTAGTATCAGCTGTAAAATGCATAAATAGTGTTCCATTTTACTACTCTAAATATATTTTGCTTCTTTGACAGCTTTTCCTTAAGTGCCAATTAATAGAAAGAATACTTGAAGCGTGGGAAATGAATGAGAAGAAACAGTGAGTAATTAGTTGCCTCATTCCCTGCAATTGTGAATAAGACTTGAGTTGTGAAATAAATGTATTACCAATTCAGAAGTGATCTAGCCAGTTTTCTAAAATCACTTTTATGTTAATATTTGGCCTAAATATTTAGGTTAAAGCTTGCTTTTTTTTTTTAATAGCATTCTAATTCTTTTTCCTGTGACTGTTCGTGAGCACAAGAGTTGTCATTCTTGCCATGTTTAAGATATTACTATAATCATTAAAGTTTACCCATGCTTGAGTACAGAAACATAATGTAAGTTTTGAGGGGACAGGAGAAAAAAACCTCAGTCATCACCTGAGGTGGTAAAACGTTCTCATGAAGGCCAAATAATTTTAGCTCTGGAGATACTGAAGAGTAAATGTTAGTTCTGACCTGTCAAAATACCGAATTAACTAGCTGGGGTAGTGCTGCTGGTTTGATGGAATGTTGAGACAGTTCCACTCCCCAAAACATTCCTGTTCCTATCTTAAGTGAATCAGATAGTAAATATATGGCTAATGTAACTGACCTGGAAATAGGGATGGTGAAGAGGAGAGGTAATAAAAAAAGAAATGTGCTACATTTAACTGTCGAAAACATGCTCTCCTGAATGTCTTTCATTTTATATCAATTCTGAAGTTACTGAGAATCACCAACTTAATTGGCAATTAAATTCTTGTAGGAGAGAAATATGAAAAGTTTTCCCTGTAATTCCAACCTAAAACTTAAGTTTTACTTGGATAAGACTGTTCTTGATCCAGTGCTTACCATATAAATGATTTAATTAAATATTTAGTCTCACATTTGGGAATACTAATGAAGAAAATAGTGTTTCAAACCTTAGGTAGTGCTTTTATCTGGAAACAGACTTGTAATGAATTCACTCCTTTATCCAGTTTCGTGCAGGTGTGGCTCCAACTGTAAAAGATAAATCTTTAAGGGTACTTTTAGCATAGCTGTTTCAGGAGATGGGTATTTTTTTACTCCTTTTGTATTCTATCAATTAATTTTATTTCAAGCAGCTCCAGAAGTTTAAGGGTAACTGCTTTCTGCTGGTAAAAATCCAACGTAGTAAAAGTTGTTTGGTTCGCTGGGATTAATAAGTGTTTGCTAACAGAAGATAACAATTGTATTCCAGACTTTCTGGCTAGGCAATGACAAGTCAGTCCAGTTTGTCAAATAGAAGCACTCTGTGTCATATCCTGTATTAGGAGCTGTAACCTTTGCTATTATCATGTGCTGCTTGTTCTGAATGTGCTTGTTACCTCAGCAAGCTGTGTGGTAGTTTATCTATGATATCATGTATAGGGATAACGTGATTTCAGTTGCCTCCTATGTTAGGTGATGATGGTGGAAAATAAAATCATGTGATCTGTGTGTGAATAACATAAGGTATTTCATGAGCTGCTGTCACTTTACAAAGATTTTAGTCATGGGAGGTTTGTCTAGCTGGGTGAGGGGGTCTCTCTTGGTTTTTGTTTAAAACACAAAACCTTAAACTGATGCAGCAAAAGCTTGGTTTGCTTGCAGCCAAATGCCAGAGAATCAGTTCAAGCTGGACCTCTCACGGTCACTGTTTGGTCAGAATTCGTATGGTTCCAACTGGCACTAGGTGTTCAGAGTATACTCTAACATCTCATAATTCCTGTTTCTGCAGAGCAGTTCTGTGTGAAATATTTGTAACTTTAGCTTTGGTAAGCAAGTAAATGTTGTTCCTAAATGTCAGGAAAGCAATGACCCGAACTTAAGTGGGTATGCTACATGTAATGATAAGAAGCCCTGAAATACTCAAAGCATACTTAAGAATGCTTTTCCATTTTGATCATGGGCTGAAAGCTCTGAGGGAATATTTGGTGTTTTGAGTTTTGTGAAATACTCTCAGCAACAGAAATTTCCTAAAAGCTCTGTATCAGTTGCTAGTTCTGTCATTATTTTGCTAATGCTGTGTATTTTACTTTCTACACACAAGCAGTACAAACACTTGTCTGTCCTTCTTGGTACTTTATGTGCTTGTTAAGTCTTCTAAACTGGCTCAGTGATGTCAAACCAGTTGATGCCTTAAATTCTTAAGTATTTTTGTGTACCTGTGATTTTAGGATGCAACTCTAACTTAAGAATCCCAGTTCATTGTCTTGTGTAACTGTGACTCTGTTCACAGCAAGGTAGGATATCAGAGCTGGTCTGAGTACAGCACTTGAACTCTTGGTCTCTTGCAGGGCTGAAGGAGGAAGAAGGCACGGCTACATGGGTCACCTGACAAGGATAGCAAACTGCATTGTGCACAGCACAGATAAGGGGCCAAACAGCACACTAGTCCAGCAGCTCATCAAAGGTATTCATTCATGGTCTTAACTTGATCTTCAGGGCTTTCATTATCAAATGCTGAGGAAATTAAGCAAATTTAAATTAGAAGGCAGCTGTTGGATTAAAATATTTGAAAATTAAGTGATGCTTCATTGTTGATAATTTCTAATTGGTTTGGTTTCTTTGTTTCCCGTGCTAGAGCTTCCAGAGGAGGTCAGAGAGCGATGGGAAACATTCTGCACAAACTCTTTAGGAGAAACCAACAAGAGGAATACAGTGGATCTGGTAAGTAGTGATGGGTAAGGTATGAAAATTGCTGCTGCTTTACTTGGACAGTTTCTTTTTGTCAGCAACGCTGTCAGTTGTCCAAAATCCAGTGTACTTGTAAGGAGTCCCTCTAGTTGTTGAGCTGTGGAACTGATAATTCTTTAATTTACTTTTCAGCTAAAGCCATATTATTAATATTTGTGCAGGCATAATGCAGACAATCAGCTTACAATAGCGAACTGGCTCATTACCTAGTGTAGCTAATGCCAGGCAATCTGCAAGGAGGAGGATTTCTTTACCCCTTCAAGGTAGTGTCCTTGGAAACTCCTGTCTGCTTGAGAGGACAAACTAAAAGTGCAGGAGCTGGTGTTGATTGCTTTATCTACAGGATGTAAATGACCCAGTAGAAGTTGGACAGAAGACTGCTACCTGCATTCCACTGCCTGGGTTACTGACCTTGCTTAATTAACTTTGCTTGCTGTTGTGCACCTGCCACATTTCTTCTGCATGCAGCTGTAGCAAGAGAGCAAAAGTGTTCTCACTTTTGGAGAAACACTTAAATAGAAGAGGTTTATATCATCATGTTAAAAATACAGTCTTAGGGTAATCACTTGGAGACTTTAATAAGCAGAGGCAGTTTCCAATGTCAACAGACCAATTCATGAATTTTATTTTACCCGACTTCTCCAGGAATGCAGTGCTTTGCATGTGGCTTCATTAACTTCTGCTAGTCCTATGTTATTTGGACTATATTTAATTGTTGAATTTACTATTTCAAAATAAATATTAACTGGAGCATGATATTAACAGGTGTCAATAGAAGCAACAGGAAATTTATCTGAAATTGTGCAACTTATGAACAGGCTCAAAAGATGTACATAAGTAATTTTTTCTTTAGCCAGTGAATGCAAAGAAGTGTGTAGGTCTTGCAGGTGAATGTTTTTTTTTTCCTCTGGGTAGAAACTACATCTTGGTCAAGACCAAGAGAAGGATCATGTAAAGAGGAAGAATTTTAGGCTTATAAAAAATGGCACTAATTGGCTCTTTAGATGCATAATGATGTGCTTGAAGGCACTTGATGTAGTAACAGTAAAACTGAATTGAAAACTTATCTCCGAACTCCACAGTTTTCAGTAGAATAGAAAGACAATTAAAACAATTTCTTTTGTCTGAAATGAACAAATACATTATATACTATGCTAATGACCCAATTTCTTTGTATAGGTTACAACCTGCCACATTCATTCTTCCAGTGATGATGAAATAGACTTTAAAGAAACTGGCTTCTCACAGGATTCTTCTTTGCAGCAGGTGAGTTGAATTCTTTTAACAGCTTAAGTTGCTCTTTCTGTAAATTAGGACATTTTTAAAAACGCAGTGGAACTTTTATTTTCTCTCAAAAGGAAATATAAATCCAGAAAGTTTAAATTAAAACCTAGGCATGTGTGCATGCACACAAATGTGTCTTACCAGACTCATGAGCATCTCTTTGAATTCTTTTGCTGTTAGTCAAAGAGTGGGAGCCTTGTGGCACAAGATTGCCAACAGATCACTTACATGGAATCAGATGCTTTAGATGGCATTATTTGTCTGGGTTACTAACCAAAATCTTTCAGATCACACTAACAGCTGTGTAGTAACTACCTAGTCTAATATTGGCTTTGGTATTTTATGCATTTTCTATAGTTTTATAATAAATAATTGCTTGTCTAAGTTTATATAGTGGGTGGTGGCTCAATCTTAAAGAATCTGATGCGTTTTTATCTGATTAATTGCTTTTGTACCTGTAAGGTGCACCTGTACAAAAACTTGATAAGTTGGGTGCTATCTGTAGCAGCTTTAGTGAGAAAGTAAGATCTTCTAATATCTCTGTGCTTTTCATGCATCCCCTTAGTGACCTGCTGTGCCTAGGCAATCCCAGCAGTTCCAGGTAGTTAATCTGGAGAAATGCAGATGGTCCAGTGCTGCTTCTTTCAAGTTTGTCTTGCTGTATACCTCCTCCTTTTATATATATATATTTTCTTTTTCCTTCAGTTCTCATAATGCCTTAATCTAAACTTGGGGTTTTTTGATTGTTCTTTTGTTTTCTTTCCATATTCACTTTGTTCAACTTTACCACCCTACTATGTCCCCTCAGCTACCTGGGCAAGAAACCAAAAGTTGACATGACAGCTTTATTTTCTAGAATATCTTAACGCTGGCTGACTTTACACATGGAAATAACCTTATTAAAAGTCCCTAGAGGATGTGTAGTAATTTATAATTTAATGATAGTCCTGGGAATTAAAAGCTGTTGTTATGGATAGATGATGCCCACAAGTACCTTAGTGTATATACTGATCTGCTGGCAGCTGACACTGTCATCTTTATTTAAAAAACCAGCACTGTACAGTGACACTGTACTGAGATGTAAAATGTTCAATGGTTTCCTCCTTCTAATATTTAGTAGATGCTGCTGGTGTGTGTGCCTGAGACTGATTTTGCTAGTGATACCTGCATAATAAATATGCAACTGTGCTTTAGTATCTGTACACAGTTTACATTTCTGGTTCTTACTATTTATAACTTCATGTTATTTTGAGTAAGGCAGCTTTTTCTTTTTTGTAGTGTTGTTTCTCTCTTTGGGGTGCATTTGGAAAGGTGCTGGTTAATGTGATTAAACTACAGATTTAACTTTTTTAATGAAAGCTGTTAGATTGGCTTTCAAGTCAGTAAATGTAAGTAGGGTTGTAGTTGATGCTACCTTTCAAAATTCAGAGGTTAAGACAAATCCTTTTCCTGTCCTTTTATGTTTAGTTTAGATAGACTTTTATTTCTTTGAAGGAAAATGGGCAAATAGATTTTAGAGTATTAGTAGAATCATTATATCACTGTCGTTGGTCCTGGGGTTGCCAGGCCTTTTCTGATTATCAGATGCAACAAATGACGTCCAATTTTATTGACCAGTTTGGCTTCAACGATGAGAAGTTTGCTGATCAAGATGACATTGGCAAGTGAGTATAATATTACACTGAATTTGGCTATAGTCTTGTGAGTTCTTTCTTACTGTGTTTTTTGGCTGTGGTTTTGCTGATGCTAAGTACAAGCATTTACTGATGTGAAGCAGTTGCCAATCAGTCCTGTCTTTTTGTGCCATCTGTATGCATTGATAGAAGCCTCCCTGAACCTCTAGAGGAAAGCAACAGCTTGTGTTCTTTTTCTAATTTCCTGGTTGTGCCGATATTGAGAAAGCTGTGCTTGTGAACAAAAAACTGAATTATAACTCTGCTTTTTAGCAGAGTCTTTTTAACAGAGAACTATGGTTCTCTGTTGACCTGACATTATTTGGGTCACTTTCTCTCTGTCTCAAAGTGGGTTTTTTCCTCTCCTGATGACCAGATGAATAGCTCTGTTTCTATATTTTCTTGGAATAGAAGACAGGAACTACATGTTCTCTGAGTATACTTTTCTGTAGGGGAGAGTAAGGAAGGGCATTGTATATCTACCTTTGTTTATAAGGTCGAGGCACTTAAGGTTGATTTATACAAATAGTCATAGGTGAAAGATAAGGAAGTGAGAACAGTCTTGGTCAGGCTAAAAAGCCCCAGATGAAACAAAAAATAGCACACAATAGAAAACACCGTTCACAAAAGCTGGTATCCTTCTTCATAAGTAAATAGATGCAATAAAGGGAAAAGGGGAGAATAGGGGTTCTTGCTGGTGGTAGAGTTTATCATGGTTTTAATAAAATTTCATGGCTTGGGATGCCAGAACATGCAGGAAGGAATAAAAAACATTATTTCAAGATGGTTTTTGGAAGAGTATTTTTATAATAATCTCAGTGCTCTTCTATAAGACATGTTTAGTAAGTGATGTCTGACTGAAGCTTGTATCTTCAATCCAAGAAGCATTGCTGCCTTTTTAGACCACAGAACCTGCTGAGATTAGAGATTAAGCTATGATAGTAGAGGTAACATGGTACTCCTTAACTTTGTTAGAAGCAAGTGGATTTTGGCAAGGACAGGAGTTGGAATTCCTTCAAGTTTATGCCTTTGGAAGTGTGTTCTCTTGGTAGAAAGATGATGACTCTGTATGTAAAGAGGTCTCAAGACTTGTGACAGGTACACTAATGATGTACTCATGAGTTCAATTAAGCTGTAGGTGAAGTTACTTTGAAGTTATGCCTTCTGTGCAAGAATCAATTGCACTCTGGTACCTGCATGGCTTTGTACAGTAATTCAGATGGTGTCTTGCATAGTAATACAGTCACACTTGCAATTTAGGTTCCTTTAGACCACTTACCTTGTTCCCTGCTTTGTGATGCAGTAAATATTAGAGGAGAAGAGTAGTGTGTGCTCTGCTGAATGCACTCATGGCTAGACAAAGAATATATTAACTTTCCTGAGACGTAAAAATGTGTCAAGCCTAATAGATAGCATTATTTCTGGGAAAAATATTTCAGTGACTGGTTAAAAAAAAATGTTTGTAGGGATCTTTTGTTAGGAAACAGAATTTGATATTGTTTTTCGTTTTGTCTCTTCCTGTTGAAAAGGTCTTTTGATAGAAGGGTGAGATCAGTTAAAATATATAAGAAATGCTAGTGCAGATATTTGCAGGATTTTGAGGTACTTATGGTAGAGCATGGCCAGATTAGGCATTCTTTAGACCTAGGTTTTTTCCAGTGCATAGCAATACAGTATTTGAGATTTGGATATATAATTTCAGTTATGCTTGTTTAGGCTTGTTGCATACACCCAACTGTAGATGGCAATGTTCTGTGTTTTTATTTAAAATATTTAACAGTTACAAAATCACAGGAAGGCCAGGCCTCCTTGGTATGTAATTTTGACTGGTTTGTGTTGGAGACTGGTTTCTTATTTTCCAATAATCTAAAAATAGAAGACAAAGTAAAGAGAAATTAAATGTCTTCATGTCACGATAGAAAGTCCTGTTTTATTGAGAACATTCCTTTTTTTTCTTGTAGTGTTTCTTTTGATCGGGTTTCGGACATCAACTTTACTCTCAATACAAATGAAAGTGTAAGTATGTGTCCCAGTACTATCAGAAAAATTTCTGCCTTTTAAATTTTGGCATGCCCTCAAAGGGTTGGCAATGGCTATATTTACTGCTTTTATGTGGAAATCACTGGAAAATATTTAGCCTACCTTATTCCCATATCATGAGACTTACTAATTGGAAGACACTATTATTGTTCTTTTTGATAAGTATTAAGCAAAATTGCTTCTAATTTGTATAGCTGGGTTTAAGATTGGTCTTAGATCTGATTTGTGCATACTGCACACTTGTGTTTTATGATTAGAAGCTATTTAAATCTTCAGTGAGACTGTAGTGACAGGAAAGTTCATGACAGTCTCTGAACCTTGATGTTAGTTGTTGGTTGAGCTAAAATGACCTTCCAGTACAGAAAATTAAGCTGGAGTACTTTGTGCTCTGGTTGTCTGGAAAGCTCTTTGGGGTCACTCCCACATGCCATCTTTAAACATGATGGAAGCTCCTAAATGTTCTTTAGTCCACTCAGCTTGTTGGTAGCCAAGTCAAACAAGCAGCACTGTGTATTTTCTTGACGAGCTTTAAATTAAGGCATTCTGGTTTTCTGCTGCTTAAGATTCTCTTCAGAATAGTCATGTATTTTCAAGATGTTTACTAATGTAATGTGGGTTTTCTATTTTGCTGTATTTAGGGCAATATAGCCTTGTTTGAGGCTTGCTGTAAGGAGCGGATACAGCAGTTTGATGATGGTGGCTCTGATGAAGAAGACATTTGGGAAGAAAAACACATTGCATTTGCACCAGAGTCCCAGAGGCGTTCCAGGTGAGAAGGGTGTTTCCCATCCAAAGAGCAGTGTAGTGAGCCTGCAGTAATGCACCTGTCCTCTGGTTCAGTGTGTCTGTTGGTACAGACTGTCCAGCATAACTTGGTATTTCCATTCTCTGGAGAAATGAGTGGAGATATGGCTCTAGTGCTTCATTTTCCAGCCATGATTCGCAGGAGATGCACTTTGGCTTTTATAGCTTGTTGGTTTGGGGTTTTTTCCTATGTTTTTCTTTCCTTCTACCTTTAAACTGTCTCAGCTGTCCTTGCTTTGGACAAGGCAGCCCAGCTCCACACCTCTATTAGACCTTGCTGTCCTCACTGCAGTACCAGTATGGCTGTGGACAAAGCAAAGTGCAATGAGGGGAAGGAGCACCTAGTCCCCAAAACTCAGGGCTGTTCAGCCTCCCTTAATATCTACTGAAAGGCTCTTCATGTGATCAAGTGAAAAAAATCCTAAACCTTGTTTCTGTGAGAGAGAAATGAGGGGAATACTAAGTGTTAAATATTATACTTCAAGTAATCTGTCAGAAATAATTGTAATTCTCTCTAGCCTGAAACTGCAGTATTTCATTGTGCCCAGGGTGTTATACTAAAACCAGAATGTAAACTCTCTTTGTATTTGAAGTTCGGGCAGTACAGACAGTGAAGAAAGTACAGATTCTGAAGAAGAGGATGGAACTAAACAAGACTTGTTCGAATCCCACACCAATACAGAGGACAAAATGGAAGTAGACTTAAGTGAACGTACGTAGCATTTTCCCCTGCTGCTTTGGGTTGTAGCAAATGCTTAGATCTAGCAGCTTGCTTTTGTAGGAGTTTCCTCCTTGACTGCTTTTATTCCAACTGTCTTGAAGTAGTCTTTCCCACTTGCCACAGAGCATGCATGTATTGGGAAGTTTGAATTCCTTACATATCTTAAATGACTTAGTCTCTCTAAAATTCGTGTTTCTCCTCTTCAAGAGTTAAAAAAGGAGGAGTAGTCAGCAAGGGGAGTATTAAATACTCATTTATAAATATTGAGTGCTTACAAAAACCTAGTATGTTACTATCCAAACCCAAAATACGTTATTTTTGCTGGAAGCCTTTCAGACCAGCTTTTTGTCTAACAGTGCTCTTTTAGAAGACTTCCTGCAGAAGCTAAGTGAATTTGCATTGTTCTGGTTTCAAATGTGAAAGAAAGATACACATCAGGAGACTCTTACATGGAATCTTAACTGATGTAATAATTTGAGAAGTTATCACATTCAAGTCAGACTAAAACTGGCTTTTGTTTAACTGGCAATGTCTGTTGTTGGGATAGGTAAAAACCCTGTGTTTATCTAGACTGTTAGGAATTAAATTCGAAGGAAAAGTTAAGGGTTTTCTTTTCTTTTGTCAGATTGGTGTCGTTGGCATCTGTGTGTCAAACAAGTTTTGATCCATGTGGGTCTCCTCCCATATCTGCCTGGGTTGGAATTTCTAATTGCTAGTCAGAGCTTCCTTTTCAGCCTGTTTTTTTGTATGTAAGTGTTAAAGAAAAACATGTTTCCCTTGGGTAGGTGAAGTATTTTGAATTGACCTATCCTAAATTAGATGCTATTCACAGTTGCTCCAAAATTTAAAATATCAATAAATATTTTATGTTGTAAAAAGCCTTAAACTTTTCTGAAACTTAGCAGTGATGTTAGTGCATGAGAAATTATTTGAAAAAATTGAAAAAGGGATGAAAACTCTTACAATTGTCATTATTATAGAAATTAGCTTGAAAAATGGTAGCAAATATTGAGGTTAATTTAAAGGCTAAAGTGGGATTGTACTTGTGATTTAATATGTTTGATTAGTCTTGTTCTTCAGATAAACTTTTTTTTTTTTTTAGCGGAGTACTCTGAATTACTGATCTTAAAATTCTGCCTTACTAGCAGAATTTTCCTTTTAGGGAATGCATTCATTTTTTAACAGGATGTACAGGATTTTTCTGCATGTGCTTTCAAGTCTAGTTATGAATCTTGCTTCTCTTTATGGAATGTACATAGAGAGAATCAGTGTGTTAGGCATATGTGCACACATGTTCTTTATAGAAATTCGTTCCTAATGGATTTAATGATGATTTTTCAGCACCTAACTGGTCAGCAAACTTCGATGTACCCATGGAGACTGCACATGGTGCCAGTCTGGATTCTGTTGGCTCTGCTGTGTGGAGTACTGAAGCACCTGTGCCAGCTAAAGAAACTGGCTGGGCTTCCTTTTCTGACTTCACATCCTCTTTGAGGTAAGAATGTCACTTATTCAGGGTGAGTTTGGTTTTGTTGGGGTGTCCATCTCTGCACCATCCTGTGTTGCTGGTGTGTGGAAAGTGTCTGAAGAGCTCTGTGTGTTCCAGCGTGTGTCCCTTTCCAGGATGGGTGGGCGATAGTGTTTTTGGTTTTTTTTTTAATTTCATATCATTATGTGCAGTTGTGATAACTAGGTTAAGTAGTTCTGCACGATTTTGAGAACATCCAAGATAATGCTGTTCTTTTTTTGGATTGAACTCTACACTCTAATGAAGTCTTGTGTATGAACTTAATCAAATAGGTATAAATTTTGAGTTGACAAGTATTGGCAGTCAAGAACTACTTCCTTCTTGTATTGGAAAACTTTGCTTTTATACATTTTGACTTTCTGTCTAGGCATTAAAACAGCTCAGATATAAATGTATGATTTTTTTTTTCCAACATAAGAGTGTTGTTTCATGATTGAGGCAGGTAAATTGATAACCAAATTAAGGGCCTAGAAAATGAAGACTTGGAGTTGCCACATTACTGGATAGAAAAGACATTCTGTAAATGGTGAGATGTTTTTCAAGTGGCCAAATCTTGTCATTTGAGTTCCTCTAGAATGAAAAACTTGTAGCTGTACAGTATATAAAATCAAGTAGTGAAATCACTTTTGTAGTGGTTCATGACTGCACTGGCAGTCTCAACAGAGAACTATATGCATTTAGCAAAACAATTAAAAATATTTGGAAACATTGCAAGGAGCTGGTGATACCTGTCTGCCTTAGTTACTAGGGACATGCCCACTAGTACTTGTAATGTAACAAAATCAAATAAAAGTAAAATGACTGTCAAATACCCTCAGCTCAGTTCGGGTGCTTTTTGCATTACTAAACTTCTATTTAGTATGTCTTTCCAGCCCTCTCAGAAACAAACTTGCTGTAATTGAGTTTTGGTATAGTTCTAGGCATTACAGCTTTCATTGAGTGCTAATACTGTTTTGAGAACTTCATTTTGCTATTCAGAAATGTTTCTAAAGATTTTTTTATTCTACTTGAAGCTCAAAAGACTCCTTAAGAAGTAATTCTCCTGTGGAAATGGAAACAAACACAGAACCAGGTGATCCCTTGAGTGCAAATGCAACTACTCTTACAACACAGCTAGAGAGTAAGTAAAACTGCATTCCCAAATGCAAATGGGTTGATTGTAGGAGTCATGCATAAGAAAAATCTCCCTGAAATTGAAAACTTTAGGTTTCCAGAGACTCTTCTCTGGCTCGTCTGCTGTTCTGACAGGTATTAAAAGTGACTTTTCAATGAAATTATAAACTATTTAAAATAGTTTCCAATTTGAATCGAGCCTTACTGATACCTCTAAAAAGTTTGCCCATCATGAACAGAAAAGCATTACAAAGAAACAAAGTTTGTTCTGTTAGAGAATCTTCTCACTTGTGTCAGCATTTAGCTGAGCTGATGCCCAAAAAGAATGGTAGCCTCCACTCTTGTCCTGTAGCAATAGGCCAGTAACCTCACTGTGTTCAAATTTCTCTTTCCTGCTCATGCCTTTCTAAGCCCCCTTCATTGTGCATGCCTTAATTGTTTGTTCTACATGTATGAACTGTATTAAAAGGACAAAAATATTTTAATGAGCTTTTTCTATAACTATTATTACCAGAGAGAGCAAGAAGTGCATGTGAGAAGTCCAGGCAGACTGGACTTCTCAAAGATTTGTCAGTACTTGGAAGCTTAGAGTCAAATTTGTACCGTGTAGACTAGTCATGAATCTGACTGTACAGAAAAATAATTTGTCACTGTGATCCTACTAAGGCCTTGTTGCAGTAACCATTGTCAGTCAAAATTTAAAAAGCTACAGACTGGCTTTTTCCTAAGCCATCTGTAAGTGATACTCATGCTCTCTATGTGGCACTTGCAGAAATTCTTTGTAAAGAAGAATTCAAGAAGTGTGCAAAACTGCAAAAATACTCTTCTTGATATATTGGCTTATGTGTTTGCACATGAAATAGAAACATTAGTACATGGCTGGTTAATTGCTTTGATATCTACTTGCAGCCCCAGCAAGTGTTGCTATGGAGGCCAGCTCAGATGGAGAGGATGATGTGGAAAACACAGACAAGGTAACCGAGACAGTCATGAATGGCAGCATGAAGGAGACACTGAGCCTAACTGTAGATGCTAAAACTGAAACTGCCGTTTTCAAAAGGTAAGAGTCCCTATTTATTGTCTCCCCCCATGTAAATAGAACACTGTTGATGGAACACTGTATCATCAGAGAGTTCTTTCTAAGTGGTAATTCCTGAGGCTTTAACTAGAAACCTTTCAAAGTAACTGTTTTGAAATTTGACTCCTAGTTTGTTACTGTAACATGCAACTTTACTTATCAAGCCTGAGTTTCAGTGGAAGGTTTTTAGAAGACTGACTCAGCTTTTGTCCCTGATGCACATTACTTTGCATTTTTCATATACAGTTCTTCTAACATTGCATATCAAAACTAAGCTTTTAAAATTTTGCACGGAATTCTTAGACTTGGATTGGAATTTCATTCTTCTCATCCAGGAGGATGGAAGACAGGAGTTGAAGGCCAGCCAGGCACTGCTTTTGAGTGTAGCTCAGCAGACACTTGGGGTGATCACTGGTGGTATGCATGATGGTGTTAAATCTGTTCTGAACTACAGGTGGCACATGGAATTCCAGAATACCTGGAAGAACAACTCTTAATTTTGCCATCTTCTGATATGAAGATTCAGGAATAAGTGTCTTACAACATGGTCAAATTGTATATTATGTATATATATATATATATCCTGTGCTCCTTTTATGAGACTAAAGCACATTTCAGTGTTGTCTACTCCATCCCATCTATTAAGATTTTGTGATCTCAAATTTAATGATCAAGTGTTTTTTGTTTAGTATCAAATATTTATGTAGGGAAACAGAGGCTACAAACAGTATAATGTGCAAAAATTTTGCCTTCATTGAAGCTGATGTGTCCTGCCTCCAGCCTGATGTTGACAAATTGGAGCACAGTGCTAGAGCATTTTGAGATGCTGCCCTCTTCTTGTTCTTTTAGAATAACTTCCTAGTATCTGTCCCTATTCTAGCTTTAAATACTAAAACAGAATTGTCAGTATGTCTTGGAAGTTGCTTTAAACCCCCCCCCCCCGAATCGATTCCAGTATAAGAAACTTTTCCAGTGTTACTCCTTACATTGCCTGCTGTATAAATTAATTTACTTCATTAATGATAAAGGAGAGAATTACTGAACCATCCAGAATGAATAGACCTTGCAAACCAAGCAGCTTTCCATCATTCTTGTTTCCATCCTTTTGATTATTTGGATGATTTAACTTCTGATGGTTTTTCAGCACAGAGGAGGGAAAACTTGTGACTGCACAGTGATTCTAAATCAAATGACATTGACAGAGGAATGAAAACAGCACTTTAGAGAAGTGTTGGGACTCCGTGCAGATCGATGTCATGTGAAGCCATCCGTAGTGCATTGCTGATTTAGTAAATGATGTGTCTGCTCTCCAGTTTGTTGTCTTTTGCACAATGCTTTTACATGGTCTTTACTCTTAGATGTTTACAAATTTGGTTTAGTTATCCATGGTGTCTTTCAGCTTCTCCTTAAACAAGTTTAGCTCACATACACTTTGAAGTTGTGTGACTTGTGATACTGGTGCAAAAACTAACATGAGGAGGCAGCATCTGGTGATAGTTCCTGCCTACCTTCATGGAATTACATGCTGGAACTGTAGTTAAAAGGACATAGAGGTGCAAAGGGAGACAATATCATAGAATTGCTCCAGTCAGAAGGGACCTTCAAAGTTTATCCATTCCAGTCTTTTATGGGAAAAGGATCCCAGATGAGATTACCAGGCAATCTGTCTGATTGCACATTGAAAACTTCTAGTAATGGGGACTCTGGGATCTTGATTTGGAAGGGAGATGTCAAAGAAACATACAGGGGGCTTAAACATGAGGTCTTAAATGTGGAGACTGTTTTACTCTGATGGAGATGTGCAGATTCATAGGAATTCAATGCTCAAGTGGCATTTTTTTTAACCAGCTTGCTGGGAAAAGGTCTAAATTAAGGGATAGTTAGAGTAGTGAGGGGAAGTCCTACTCTGGCCTGTTTGCCTTTCAAAGTGGATGCTTCCAGACTTCAGCTTTATCTAGGTTTCTGCCAATAGAAAATTGATGGTGTTGAAGTCAACACTGAGGGGATTTATAAGCTAAGTAGTTCATTTGTGAAAAGCTGCAAAGGACAAAAATGGGATTTCTGAACTTAGTTCGGAAACTTAGTCTCTACTCAGAGTAGAGAACAAGTAGGAAGAATGTCAGCAGAGAGGCAGTCTTTATTTTATTAAAAAATAAAAAAAACCTAAGACATCACTTTCGATGGTGACGGTGACAAGTATTTTATTTGGAAGGAATGCAAAGAGTATCAGGTGAATGAGATGGGGAGATTAGATGGGGAAAACTTGATGAGAGATTGCAATGCAAAAGACAGTATTTTTGCAGGCTCTGCAGGATAGAAGGAGAAAAGAGAAGGATTCATTGAAATTTAAAGGATCCATGGAAAGGAGAACTGTGAGAATAGGAAGAAAACCAGCAGAGGAGATTGGCACTTCTTGAATAAATAGATTTGTTTCCACAGAGGTATAAGATTGATGTTTGTCTACTTCAGAGCTACTTTATAACTATCTCTTGCAGGTATATATGCTCAAATTTGTATTTTAGTTCGCTCATAATGGTGTGGTTGAGGTGGAAGAGGGTGGAATAGAGAGGCAGAAAAGTTTGGGTTTAGAGGCAAATCAGATTTGTTTGCTAATGACTTTTGAGGCTGCTTGGTTACATGGTACTGTCTTACATAGTGTGAGTGTACAGCTTTTTCACTGAACTTTGTTTTTGTCTGTAAGAGGAAGTTTGTGAAGTAGATTGGGCTGCAGTCTTTATACCCCATAACCCATACATAGTATTCACTGTGGAGTTACTAGGAAGTTTACTATAAAAGATAGTGATGAGTTAATGATTTTGCTGGTATGTTTCATGGACAGACTTTATTAATGCCAGTTTCTGAGGGAATCTTGAATTTCTTTTATACTTTCTTCCATTTTTGCATACTTCTGGCTTCAGAGTGTTGAAATCCTATCGGTATGTATAGCAAAGGATCATGATTGTCATCACTTCAGGCATCACATACATCCCTTTTTTTGTTTCTGATCTTCTTTGCAATCACTGTGTTTCCTGCCCTTTTATCCAGTCAAGTTTTAATGGAATGTAAACACCATTAGGTGCATCGTTAGGTGTTTGTAAAGCCTAGAGCCATGTGCTTGATCTTCGTGTTGCAATCATAACTTAAAATCCATTTGCATGTGAAATATGGACCCGTCTCAGTTTTCTCCTGTTGCCTGAATTTCCCTATAAGTAAACATCAAAGTTAAATACATTAAATAACCTCTTGCTTTTTTTTTTTTTTTTTTTTTAAAGTGAGGAAGGAAAATTGACTACCTCGCAGGATCCTTCTTGTAAATATGTAGTAGAAGAGAATACAGAGGTTGCAGAAGAGGTCCCTTCAGGTCTTCAGCCTACTAACAGCAGTCCAGAACAGAGGTAACTGCATTCAAGGATGATTTCAATTCTCTGAATAGCAGTTTGTGTGCTTTTCTAATAGGATTGATCTAAAAAGATTGAGTTTAGCTCAGTCTAAAAATGTACTTGGCTTTATTTTATTAAATTCCCACAAGTTGAATTTTCAGTTGATTCTAAGACTCTTAAGTCATCAAAGGTGTATTTTTTTCTGCCAGGAAGTTGTAAATATCTCCATTCTGTTTTGTGACAACGTTAGTAAGTTAGAATAGTGAATTAATGCACAGAACTACTGCATATTCTGATTATACTGTACATGGACTAAAAAGATGGAAGCACAGATTTAGATTCTGATTTTTGAGACTTGTTTATGAGCCAGTATTTAACTGTTTCCTTTCTTCTAACTTCCTGCTCTGCATAAATCTCAAACTTGATCCAGAAGGGCATTCTAACCAGAAAAAACAACCCTGTCTCCTTAGTGAGAAACTCAAAAACTCTTTCACAGTCTCTCCTAGAGATGCTATCTTTATTAAGACTTTTTTTTTAAATGCTGCTAAGCATTAAATTGTAGGGAAACTATAGTTGGGTAGTTGGGTACTAGGTGATTACCTTTTGAGTGAAGATGCTTGTCTGAACCAAGAGAGGGTTCTCAGAGCTAGCAGTTTGCTAGATGGCCTTTAGGTTGTGGGAAATCTCAGGAACTCCTTTCACTGACTCCTGCTGGCTTCAGCAGAGCTCAGAACTTTCTCTCAAGGTGGCTGTTGCAGTAGATCCTCATAAGCACAGGATAAATACTAAGATAAACCTCATGGTGCTTTTGGGGCTCCATGTATAAATGACTAGTGGAAGGACTCCCCTAGGTAGGTCTCTGGCTGGTGGCTAGCAGGAGTAATCTCTGCTAGGAGCCCTGTTCTATCATGGACTTTTTTCCAGTTAATAAATGAGTGATGGTTATGCAGACTGTCACACTTCCTGCCCATGAAACATTTGTTTCTTGCCTTACAGGTTTCTCTAAAAAGTGTTTGCTTTTGTCTAGTGCTGTCTTTTCTCTAATGTTCACATATGTTTTTTAAAAAGTGTTTTTAGGGCTTAGCAGCCAAAGACTTAGCTAGGGGGCTCCTGCTGGTTATGTGCATGTAGAGCACAGACCCCAGAGTGGCTTCTCTGTGATGTCCACCAGCAGAGAACAGGAGTTACAGGTAATTTTCCTCATCTGTAGTTTCAAGCAGTATTTGCATTCTTTTAGAGAATCTTCAGATGTATTCCATAGACTTGCACTGAATGGAAGTTGACTTTTTTTGCCTCTATTGCTTGCATATTTTTAATGTCTTCATGCACTGGTTTGATCTTTGTGCCGGTCCAGAGCAATTGAGCCCATGTTTACACTAAATTTTTATCTAGAAATGTACATACTGTTGCTGTTTCCACTCTTGTAGGTTTGCTCTCCATTTTCCTCCATACATCATGAACGTTTCATCCTAGTGGGCTGACATTCAAAGTATTTTTGAAAGGCTGTTTGTAGATTAGATGAATAACCAAAGCAATTTTTAAGACACTGTTGTTTTTCCTGTTGTGTCTTAGCTGCTGACTTTCCAGTGCAACCATAAATACTCCTGGTATCACATTTTGCCTCACAGAATAAGATTTGGATAAGTATCAGAAACCTGCTCTTTATTAGTAATTCTCTGAGATACCACATCTCTAGAGATGGCTTCTTATCTCAGTTAATGAAGGCCACACATTCTTCAATGGTGTGCTCAGTTAATTGAGTGCTATGCTTAATGAGGAGATAAGATTCCAGAAATGCTGGGCTGCAGAAGATAATTGGGATGAGCACGTTATTAGCATGTTTCCTTCCTTCAGTTTGCAGGTTGTGCTACGCAGGATCTGGGGTTGTTGGGTTTTGGTTTGGTTTTTATTGCACTTACTGCATTTATTTCTTGTGTACTTACATGTATTTTTTGGCCTCTTAGGACTGATCAACACACCCATTTAGGAGAGGCATCTGTTAATGGCCCTGTATGATATGTGATGGCTGCTACCTTGGCTGAAGAGAAAGAACTGATGTCCAGGTGTTTGAGTGTTTCTTGAGGATATCATCAAGACCCTGTTGAAGCCAGTCACTGCTGCACTAATTTCGCAAGGAATCAGGACCAGCAACATTTATATTCTAGATTTTAAGACATTGTACAGAAATTCATAAGTGTAAAAATATTGCACATTGAGAAATACCAATAATTTTTGCGTATGTTTATATTGTATTGTTCTAAATAACGGGGGGCCTGTGAAATAAGATCCTGCTACCCATGTAATGATGACAGTAGTGTTACTATAGTTAAAATGGCTGTAAGAATAGTTTTATAAAAAAGTGAATACAAAAATCTAATGTATTTGAGACATAACTATTTGACGATTAGTGTGACCAAAGTATTTAGGAGTTTTCTTACATTTTTCACCTTGTAAAAAAGAAAAAGAAAATTCATGTTTTTTCTGAAACTGAAATGCCCTATAAATGTTATTTTGGTTGGTTTAGCTTACAAAAGTGATTTAAATAAGAATTTTTTGGTGTTCAACATTTTACAACAGGTTTTTTAATTGGTAATTGTTTTCTGTATTGTTCAAAACAGATCAAAAATGTAAGTCTATTGGTAGAGATTTTAAGTATTTATTGCAACAGCTTAGTTGACAAATTGATGTTACTGTAAAGCCATATGTTCTGTTAAGTCTAGTTTGCTTGAAACAATACCTTCCAGGTGAAACACTAGAATATTTGGAGTGCACATGGCTTGTTGTGTTTAAGTGGTTCACCTGCCTTTAAACAGTTCACCAAGATTTAGTTCAATACCAAGCATTATACAATGGAACATTTCAGAACAATCTGCGTATTTAAAACGCTATAATCCTTTTAGACAAGTCAAGTAAAAGAAATGCTCATGCTGCTAATGTAATTACAGTACCTGCATTTTAAAAGTAAATAGTGTTTTTAATACAAATTTTGGCAGCAGAGCATGTTAATTGGTAATTTCACTGTACTGATCTGTGTGAGGCTTTCATTTGTATGTTCTAAACCAGTTTTTTCACAGCTGGTTTGTGTATATATATAGTGATTATGGAAACTAATTCTGTGTAATTTATAATTTTCTATGTCAGTGTAAAATTCCAACAGCCTTCTCAAACAAACAGAAGCAATATACTGTATATTGCCACATTGTCTGGTGAAAGGGTTAAAATACTCCTGCACTTTTAGATGCAAAACCATTTTTGTTTCTGTAACAGTCATATTCATTTATTTTTACATCATTTGTTTTCCTGACCAGTATTTAAAGCCAAAAGGATATTCTAAACAATGGCCAATGATTTATTTCAGAAGGCGTCCCAAACAACGTGCCTAAACATTACATTGCATACAGAAATAAAAAACCCACATGTATGTCACTGCCCTTATTGCTTTCTCTTTTGCATTTTCTGCAAGGTTCAGCGCACTTGTCCTTGGAAGTTTTTGCAAACTGATCAGTTGTGTGAAAACAGAGGGGTAAAACCACAATATCATAAGTGGAATTGGTAGCTATGGTTGCCCTTTTATTTGTACTTTATGGAATCCAGTCAGTTTCTAAGTTTGCTTTATCAGTTCAGAATTGCTTTCAGATCAGCTTGACCAAAACCATTTTTGGGTTAGCTTTAAGGTTGGCAGCTGTCCTTCTTGTCACTTTGATCTGTCACTGAACAAGCAGCGTTGGAAACAAAACTGCTCATTTTGACACATGAATTGGAGCCAGGTAGAAATACCAAATACAGGCAAGCAGCAAGTTGGTTTGTCTAAGTTTGATGCTTGTAAGGAGAAGAACTCGAGTCCTTTCCAGTGGAACTATTTGTCCCTTGCTAAAAAGTTGATTTATCTAGTTCTGTGGCTGTGAATATCAGAGAACACAGTAGATGAAATTGAATCTGGGCCCTGTTGCCTTCAGTTCAGCAGTCTTGTACTTGTGTTTCTGTTCACGAACTGTCATATCAGTCCACTGTTTTGAGGAGGTGGAGGGTGTGTTTTACCCACTCACTCTATTGCTTGCACAAGGAATCTGGAACTTGAAAGCATTGGAGGTGTGTCTGAGGGAGGGGAGGGTGTGTGGATGTGTGTAAACACACTTCTTTTGCCATCTTTTATTAACACTGCTGTTGACATGCTGCTCACATAGCCTTACAGAGGTTTGAACGTGCTGTGAGGATCTGTCACCCAGCCTATTTAATGAGATTTGACTTGCATGCAATGGAATTGGAGTCTTCTTTATCAAAAGGTATTTTAATGCATTTGCAGCATGGACTGAAGTGTCATACCTTGGTACAGGTTTGAGTTCCTACAGTGTTTTTTGCAGCAATTAGGATGAAATGAGCTTGTTTTGAAAGGCTTGTCCACTCCCACATTCCACAGTGCTCTTTGAAATGGCCAAAGGCTCAGTCACTTGAAACCGAGGTACAATGATATCAGTTGATGTCAGTGGGCAGTGGATTAACCCTCAGGATTTCTCTGGTAAAGGATTTTTACTCAAGAAAGAGTGTTTCAAAAGTGGCTAGACCAGTAGTATCTCTAGTAGCTCCATTGCCTCTTCCACGTGGCAGAGTGGATGAATCATGCCTTCTTGACCAGTGAAACCATTATTTTTAAGTGTAAGCCCTGAATTAGTTTTATAGCAAGATTGTTCCATTTAAATAAAAGCATAAGTCATCGTCTTGACTAACATTGCCATTAATTCACTGAAAAGATAACAGGATAGTGGAAGCAATCTCATTATGTCGTTGTACATGGAATCCCGTGTGACCATGCTCTCGAGTGAAGTCTACATTTTTGCACCTATTAAACCTTGTATCTACCTCTTGAAAGCAGTGAGTTCTGTGTTGTCATCTGCATACTTCTTGTGGAAACTTACTGTGATATTCATTCTTTGTGTGAAATCCGTTCAGGAGATTTGTGAGGAAGATGAATCGGATTCTTACCATCATTTGTTATAAACTTACCTTTCTGTTTAAATTTTAAAGCATTAATTTCCTTGGAGATTTTGTTTTCTGTCATATGTCCCATACAGTTATATCAGGAAGTACTTACTGTATATAACTGCCTCTATTAATAGACTTAATCACTTCTGACTGTCTCAGAATAAATAGTGCTTTCTCCAGTGTAGTATAAGTGCTTTGAGTTTCATTATGCAAGTGTTTGTATTGTTTTCCAAACCAGCATGGAAAATGGCTGTTACTGTGACAGCAAAATGCCCTGTTTTGGTAAAGGTTTTCACATCTGTCTTTGAGCTTCTGTGTCTTACTTACTAGCAGGTAAGGATTTGGCATCTTCCTGTTCCATTATTGTTTGAGTATGTAAGGTTACAGCATGGAAGGAGATGAAGGCAATAAAATTAAAATAAAAAATACTCTTATTGTAAAGGTAGAGGCATTTTTCTGTCTCCTTTAGGTAGGACAGTTCATGACATTTTTTGGACTTGCTAGGCCAGGTTGTTATTTGTTTCAAATTGTGATTTACCCCGTGTTTAGTCTTTGTTAATGACTTGGATATAGTCACACTTCTAAGGATACCCAAAGGAAATCTCTGTATTTCTTACTCTGCTGCCACCAGCTAAAGCACTGAGACCTGAACTTTACCTTGTGTTGTCTTTCAGAATTTCTCTTTTAGATGAGTCTGGGCTTAGTGTTTGTATATTTTTTATTGGAGAGGGGAACTTTTGCTGTCTTCTCTAAGTCACTAAGTACCTTACAAAATGAGGTGGGCTTCCCTTTATCTTTCTGGCCTTAGCTTAAATACTGTAATTCTGATTCTAGGGCTTCATTCTGAATTTGAGTTGTGTATGGTGTGGGTACTTTCCTGTGATCTGTGTTTTCTGTGTCTCAGATCATGACTCTGAAGACTAATTTAGGTCATGATTGCCTGTTGGCATACAGCCACCCAGAATAAGAAAGCTGCCCCTTGCCTGGCTGTGATTGTGTAGATTTTGTTGCTCATGTCCCATGAGATACAGTTCGTGTCCATTTGCACAGGGGACATTTATCTGGTAGTCTCACTACTGTGATCTGTGGATGATACTTAGGTAGATGGGTGTTTGATGCTCAAAGGTTTAATAGACATAATTTTTTCAGATGGAACCTGGACCTGTTACGAATCAGTTAGGTCTGCTTTTAAACTGCATTATGTGCCACACTTCTGTCTTTCTTATCATTCCCCTTGTCTACACCAATTACCTGTCAAAGGCTGTCACAATTTCACCTTGGGTAATGCACTAGCCTGGCTCTTTTGCAAGGGCACTGAAGCCTGACTGCAAACATTGCAAATAAAACCTGCTTTTCCTTACACCAGAAAGAATTAAGTGTTTGAGGAATCCCTCTGCTATTTTTTCAAATGAAAGATAAAAAACGTTGACTGTCTTCTACTGATTCTCATATCAGACAGGCACAAGATTGCTAAGATAAGCTAAGACTGCTGAAACTCAAGTGACCTTGTTTCTGTTGCTGGGAATTCTCCAAAGCATCTTTCCTCCTTTATAGAAACATTTGTTAATGTTGTATTTGTTTAAAAGGATTGTTTTTCTTTACTCACAGCTAAACATAAAATTCTGAGATGTGCTTTCAGATGAGAAGGGCTCTGCTTTGGAGTGAGCCATGGGGGACTGTACATATTGACAGACAAGGTTGTAACAAGGAATTGTGAGGCATTCATTGGACTGTGGGGCCCTATTGTTTCTCTTTAGTCCCTTCAGAATAAAGTAGCTTGAAAAGATAAAAGGGCTGACAACACATGCCACTTTTAATGCTAGTACATTGCTTGTCTAGTTTGAACTACTCCAAAGACAGATCTCTGAACTTGGAAAGTGGTGGGTGACTTCCAGGTAAGTAAATAGTTTCAACCTTTAGTTGCACAATTCATGTGGAATTCTTACTTATTTTTATGTACAAACACTGAAGATAAATTTTAACTGAACTATCTAAATAAATATCTATAGATTCACACCTGTGTGCATGCACATCAGTGTGTAGGATACATTTTCTTAACATGGCTGGTGCAGTGCCTGTCATGCATTTCCAAAGTATTCTACTGAACTGTAGAATACCAGGAAGAACAAAGAAATACTTGTGCACAGGTTACAGCCCATTCTAAAGCATTTCAGGTTTGTGTCTGCTTGTGTAGGTATTGCCAGTGGTCTCTGGCCAACCTGAAGGTATCTTGATGGGAGGAGGCAAACTTCTGCTTTGTCAGATGATTGATGCTCTCTTAGTCCAGCTATTTGATGCATTTGAGCGTCTGGTAAGGCTTGTCCAGCTGGAGTCTCTTTTACAATCTGTTACTATCTGGAATGAAGCAACTCAGGGAAGGACTTGGATTGTAAAACTAAGTGCAGGGCAAGGGTTATGTTAAGCATGAGTTTGTAGACGTGCATGCTTGGTGCCCTTCCATGTGAGTGGTTCTCCAATATCCTTCTTTGTCATATGAGAAGGTCTGGACTATGTGTTAAATGGCTAACCAGTTCCTTCAGTCAGAGAGTAGATATTACTTCTGCATACATTGTTGTGCCAAGTGTCTGGAAAGGAATCAAGAAAGTGATGGTGGTGTAGTGTGACACTTGTACAGAAACTAGGTCATCCAGTCACACTAAAACATTTGTTAGGAGCAAGAAGTCTTTGTGTTCACAAGTGCAGAAAGGTTATGTGTGGGTAGCACTCAAATGGAAAGGTGATTGCTTTCAAGTATCGAGATACTGGCTTGAAAGAAAGCAGAGAAATGGCAAAGCTTTGAGTGCAGGGGAAGGCAGTTTGAAGTTCTTAATCTCAGGCAAGGCCTTGTTTCACTTTTTGGTCATTGCAGCACTTCAAGGAGCTAGAAAAAGATGAAATCTTTCTGGCTGGCTATGTGCCAGAATATGGAATATGGATTGTTCTAAACAAGAATCCTTAAATGGCCTTGTGCCCCTGGGAGAATTTTTTCATAGTTCATGGCAGTGATGCATGTGGCATGTTACTCATGAAGGGAAAAGACTGAAGTTGTGAGGTACAATAGGAGAAGAAAATGCACATTAATGAAATCCACTGAATAAGTTGAGTATTGAAGTCAGCATTTATACTCCTGGTGTGTGGCTGTGTGTTTTGTAGTGACATCTGGCCCTCTGGAATGCAAAGATTCAGAATGAATGCTTGCTGCTAGACAAAATTAGAAGGTTATTGGATTTGTGTTAACATCAGTTGTCTTATGAAACCTTCCTCTGTCTAAACTTGCTGTAAGGACTGTGAATTTAGTCTTCATTTACTCATAAAAGATGACTGATAATATGGCATATTTCAAAGAATAACTGGTTAATTTTTAAGATTATTTTTGTGACTGTTGTAATGTCCAGCCACACTATTCTACACTTACCTGATTATAGGACTTATTATGGCCTCTGGACTTCTGATTTGCTCCAGCTTTGACACAAACCAGTATTTCAGTGTTTGAATACTGCTTTCTCTGACAATCTTCATTGTATGTTTTTATGACAAAAAAGCTTTTTTGACCTCAGAGCAGAAAGGGTAATGGAAAAGAAGGACTTGTATATGAACAATCTATGGCCTTGATATGTGCTACAAACTTCTAAGAATGTCTTAGAAACTCAACAATTGTTTGCATTTTGCTAACAGCATTTCTGTTAGCTACAGCTTTTCTGTTGAGAAATAAATGTAATGAGGCTGCCTGCTAAGCTGACAGGTGTTTATTTGGCATTATCAGTTCACTGAATGTGTCTAAGAGTAAACTCTGCTGCTTTGTGAATTATTTACAGGAAGCTCTTTCTTATTCTCCATTAAGAATCCTGGCAGTACTGTATTTGTCCTTCTCCTTTACCTGATGTCTCATGGAAGATTTCACAGAACTATTTGTGATTGTGGAAAGATAGAATGAACTGTTCTCAGGGCTGCAAAAAACACATACTTAAGACATAGCTGCTTATGATGTAAAAGTTTGTTTTTTATAGATGTTACAAGTTAAACAGATGTGATGGCTGCTAAGTAACAGCTGAAAGAGGTAATTAAAAATATCTCCTATACAAATCTTTGTGACAAAGACTAGAATTTCACTTCATTCTGGATCAGCTTGAACTCTGCTCTGTCACATGCTCTGTGAAAAGCTCAGTTTAACTTGGCTTCACACAGCATAATTAAGATCATTGATGCTTAAATTCTAACTCTGTTTCTCCTCCCTGCTCTTACTCACTTCTTGAGAAATGACAAAATATTAGAAATCCAAATAGGATGTATTTTTCCTCTATGGGAGACTGAAAATAAGTAAAAACTTACCAAAATTATACTTCCTGAGATGCTGGAATCAGGGAAGAATATGAAACAAAGAGACAGGAGAAGAAATTGAAGAAATAAAATGCTAAAAAAAAAAAAGAAAAAAAAAAGAAGAAAAAATTCTGAACTGAAATCAATAAAATGGAGTGGGATGACCTGAAGTTCAGTGAGGCTTTGTACAGTTCAATTTGCTTAGACAGTAGTAGCCAATACTTCAAAACCTTCTGAGCTGCACAGCCAAGTTGCAATACAAGAAGGGAAAACATGACCACTCATCCCACCCATGGCATTTTTTTCCCCACTATGCATTTCTACATATTTATAAGTACTTTAAAGTTTCTAAATCAGCTCCTATAATACATTTTACTACTGTCAGTATCTTTAAAGGAAGACATTTGTTTAGTTAAAAGATCCAAACTTATTTGTAATAGGTTAGAACTGCTAAATAAAAACATGAATGCTTAAATGGGTTTGACATCAAAGCTTTTGTTATTTTCATCAAGTTTTATAGCTATTTACAACTTCACATAATCAGTAGCAGAGGCATGTTCTCCAACAGCTGTTTATGTGATATTGAAAGACACAGCTGTGCTTCCAAAACCAGGAAAGGGAAAAAACAGCCCCTTTTCACAATTTGAGCTCACACAGTAAACAGCATAGTAAACCTCCTAATATCATCCATCACACTGCAATCACTGATATAAATCTGACTATTGTGGCTGAGAAAGTATATGGAAGAAAAAATGGACAATTTCATCTTACAAGAATTTTTAAAAATTCTTAATGAAGTATACCAGAACAATTTTACTAACTTTATAATTAAAAATCCCCAAAAACAACAAAACAAAAGAAAAAAACAAAAAAAAAAACCAAAAACTCAACAGTCTTGTCTGTAGTACTAAAGTGCTGCCAGGGAATTTATAATATGCTAAAATTGAAAAGGTCTGACGAGTCATTAAACTGAGATTTAGTCATGACTGGGCACTTTTGTATTGGTGAAAATTTTTCTGCAGAAAACCTTTGAACAATGACCAGGATAACACTTTCTGTGAATGATTGGTGTGTTGGCATCAGCAAACGTTATTAGTTGATGTAAGATTAATATTTAAAACCTG